GCTGGTTTATAAGAATGAAGCACAGGGCAAACAACGGATCTGTCATTGTGCATATCCACATGTGATCCAGGTTGAGCTGCACTTACCAACTGGGCAAATCCCCAGAATGCCATGGGCCTGTAGAACTGTTCTGTGCACTGCTAAAGCGCAGTATCAGCTGACATGATAAGGGGCCTGCTTCATTACCTGATCTTGAGACCCTGAGATGAAAAGATTCCCTGCCTCAGATCTTGTTTTAACCTTCACTATTTCAGTTTTGTGCTTAGAAGATGCTTATTCCTAAATTACTGGGGAATGTGCAAGAGTTAAGGGGGGATTAAAAGGGGACCCATTACTCATTTTGGCCCCAGGGCCCACTAGCAGGTTAATCTGGAAATGCACGTGATTTATACTTTATGCATTTAGAATGCTACTTGGAGAGCATAGGCCTCCCATGATGTTGACTAAGCCACTGCTACACCCATGGAAGTCATTGCTATCGCTGAAATGAATTTCCTAAAACCCTGAAATTGTTGCTGTGTTGTGTTTTAAACCAAGCTTCCATGTCTGTCTCATAATTGCTGCTGAATTGAATTGATGGCTCACATCCTAAATGTGCTTCACAAAATATTACTAACTGTTCATTCACTTCAGCTTTAATGGAAATGGGCCCAAGTGTGCTGCTGTCAATAACAGAGCCTCAACAAGGTTTCCAGATAAAGTGGAAAAAACAATCTTCACAGTGAAAAGGAATGAATTCCTCCATACTTGATTTACTTTATGCAGTTAACAATGATCCATGTGTGTCTCTGCGTCCTCCAGTGTTCATCAGTTTGAGAATATGGTGGGTCACTTCAGGCTTGATACAAACCCCAAACAGGACTCTGATTCGGGGCCACCAGGACAGCAGGAGGAGCCGTGGATGATCACTGACCAGGACTTAGAGAGGAACAAGGCCAAGGTCTGACACACACACGCAAGAAACACACACACCGACATCCAATCACACACATTTGGATACAGCACATATAGAATTATCAATCCAAAACTTTTTCTCCTCTGTGTTCCTCGACGGAAATTGTAAACGTTCTGTGTGATTTAGTCTCTCCGCCAGATCCGTCTAAATGAGGTTCTGCAGGATTACTCCAGAGAAGCTGCCCTGATTGTTATGTGAGTACAGTAGTTCTTCATTTAAAGTCATGGGTGTGGTCTTTTATTAGAAGGTAGACAACGCAGAGTAAAAGTAGTGACCAAGTATGGTATGGCACGCCAACTGCACCACTGCACTCTGAGTGAATGGCTCTTGATTCTTGGCTGGTCATGTTTTATTTAAACCTGACAGCATACAATCACTTTGCCTTTAAAACCAATCACTTGGATGTTTTGAACTCATTGTTAGCAGTCGAACACAAACTGTTCACCCCTTTAAACCTTCTTTGCTGTGACTCTGTATGTTTCCTGACAGCACCATGCCGGTGGGGAGGAGAGGAGTGTGTCCCAGTACTCTCTACCTGGGGTGGCTGGACTTCTTGTCACGTGATCTGAGACCTCCAGTCCTGATGGTCAGAGGAAACCAGGAAAACGTCCTCACCTTCTACTGCCAATAAAATGTCTCTTTGAGATCAATGTACAGATACTGAACTACAACTTATAACACACATCCTGACATCTTCATCTTGATTTAGACATGTCAATGCCTTGACGGGTATTGGTGGTTATGTAATCCTGTAATGAATGTATGACTCCTGTCATTACCATGTTCTTGCCCTTTAATTCAACATGTTAATGATTTACACATTTTAGAAGTACTGCAAAAGTAAATCACCATAGGGCAGACATTGAAGATAATTATTTATCAAAATGACTGTAAGTGTTTTGTTTCCTGTCCTTACTTATGAAGACAAAAAAGAGTTTGTTTAGGTCAATATGATTGCTCTTATTAAAATGTTTAATAACGAAAGACTTGTCGAAATAAATGAAAGCTGCTACAAAGTGTGCTTCATGTTAAATAAACAGACGGTGTGTGGCTGCATTGTTGATTGTGAGCAGTGCCACATAGTTAAATGTGTCATTTGTTAAAGACGTTCATTTTGTTCATTTGAGTGTATCTAGAGACTAGTTGTTGTACCTTCTGTATGGCTTAGCACAGCAGGTATAGCCGAGACAGTGGATCCTTCCCCTGACATTGACCGCTCCTAATTAGAATGTTGTTTTGGATCAAACCATACTGACATCACCTTCATTATTATGCCATGCCACATTTAATCCCTGTATACTCAGCCTTAACATGACCACTGACAGGTGAAGTGAATAACACTGATTATCTCCTTACCATTATTACCTTATCTCATAAGGATTTGAGCGACTTTGAAAAAGGCCATATTGTGATGGCTAGACAGCTGGTTCAGAGCATCTCCAAATTGGCAGCGCTTGTGGGGTGATTCCGTTTGCAGTGCTCCCACCAAAAGTGGTCCAAGGAAGGAAAAGCAGTGAACCAGCGACAGGGTCATTGATGGACGTGGGGAGCGAAGGCTGGCAGAACACACAGTGCATCACAGCGTGTAATATATGGCCACATAGACACAGACCAGTTTGCCCATGGTGACCTTGTCTGTGGCTTACCTGGGGAACACATGGGACCAGGATGCAGTATGGGAAGAAGGCAAGCCAGCGGAGGCAGTGTGATGCTTTGGGCAATGTGCTACTGCGAACATGGGGTTCTGCTATTTTCATGTGGATGTTACTTTGACACGTAATCTTTATGTAGTCAAAGTTACCCTGAACTCAAATGTGATAGCCTAGTCATCATCAGTATTTATTTAATGTTTTGCCAGAAAACCAAAATGAAAGAGTAAAGTAAATTCCCTAACATTTTTTGTTTTATGTTTTTTTTCACTTTTAATGGACACATGTAACATGTTTTATGCTTCCTGTGAATATAATCCAATTAATCCTATTTTCATATACGTTGTGTTAACACCTTATTTTCAAAGCTAGATGTTGTGTTGTGTATCTTTGTGCTAATTTCACAAAGTCCGACGTAATTTGATAAAGTATGTTGTATGTGGTGCTCGTATCGCTTACTGTTGAGATTTGATAGCCTCTCTTCAAATAAGACTTTCTGACTGCAACACTTGTCTTTGTAAAGAGAGAAACTGACAGAATATAGTCTCTAACCCTGCCCGTTAGCTCACTCTGCTCCGTTAAAACTGAATTTACCACACAGGGTCGGATACGAGTGCACTCCAGATTCAGCTGCTACTAGCTGACCGTGTGTTTCTCACAAACAACGGCTCCCTTTACCGCAGTTCTGTGTCCGTGCATGCCGCAAACTGAAACACTGTCTGTCATAGCGTCCACACGAAAAGGAAAGCAGACTTGGCTGGTAGTATTGTCTTCAAATAGAGTTGCTAAACACCTCAGCCATCCGACTGTGTGAGGAGCTAGCTTGTTGATGTATGCACGTAGAGTCGACCTCTGCCATTTGACTAGTCCACCAATAGGGGAGAAGTTCACCCCTTGAGACACAGCCCCTCCTCATTTGCATAATGAGGCAGAAATGCATATAGAAATCTAAAAAGGACAGGCAGAAATAAATACCGTTGGGGAAATAAATAGGGTAGAAATGCAAAGGATGAATAAAACAGACAAAAATAAAAAAGCACACACAAATAAATACATTTAAAAACTAAGTAATTAATAAAAAAAAGTTGAAGATTATAACAAACAATAAATAAATAAGGTAATTATTATAAAGGTGAATAAATAAAGAAGCTAATTAAAAGATATTTATATATTTACGCCTCATTTTATAATTTAATTACTGCCCACATTTATTTATTTACTTTATTTTTTGTACATTTAATCAGATGCTTATTTATTTATTGAGCATTTATTTATTTCTGTATTTATTTCTTAATCTGTCAGGATCAGTCCTCCACAGTTTTTGACATATTGCAATTAAAGTTGTGAGTATGACACGCTGGTTGACACATTCTTTTTTGTTAACTGTATCTGCCAAACCACTATGATTTTGAAGAGTGTCTTGCCTCCCAAAATCTGACACCCAGTCTTGTTTAGTTATCCAAGATCTACAGTATAATACTTCTGTATTGCTTTGTGTTGGCAATAACACTCGAATAGCCATAGTCGGTGCGTTCAATATCTACAAGTCGATTTGCAGCTGATGTAACATGACTGATGCAACTTTAATGGACAAAGTATTGCTGTCAGAAAAAAAGTGCTCTTGTCTAAGAGGGAAAAGAAGGAGAAGAGCTCTCACTCTGTTAACATTTTCATGAGCAAACGTCACACACAACTTACCATCTGAAAATAAATAAATGATTGCTGACATTTAGTGATTTTGAGGAAATGCAAACGAAAACAATTTTCCATGACATTGTGTGTAGCTTATGTTAGCAAATGTTAGAAGAAACAGTTAACACCTTTGATTTACCAACTCCTCTGTTAATTAAGTTTGCTGACTAAACTGGAAAACACATCAGCCATGTGAGATAATGACCTCATACTTTTTTCTTACAGTCTAGTAATCGTTTTTATGTGTTTTTCACTTATGTTTTCCATTTGTCTTGACAAAATAGCAGGCGGCACGGTGCTGCAGTGGCACTGTCGCCTCACAACAAAAAAAGGTCGTGGGTCCAAACCCGGTTGCCCGGTCTTTCTGTGTGGAGTTTGCATGTTCTTTCCGTGTCTGTGTGGGTTTCCTCCCACCATCCAAAGACATGGTGACCCTAAACTGTGAGAGGTTGCCTGTCCAGGGTGTACCCCGCCTATAGCCCGATGTCGGCTGGGATTGGCTCCAGCCCCCTGTGACCCCGCGACCCTGAGCGCAGGATAAGCGGTTGACGATGGATGGATGACAAAATAGCACCAGAGTGAGCGAAGTGAGATCTATGGTGTTGAATAAACGATCTTTTAAGCTGTTAATAATATGCGCATGCTCACAGGGCGACGATTCCAAGAGCAGGCTCCACGTCTTTGCACGAGCGGGCGGCAACCAATCAGGAGCGGCCACAGTGTGTTTGGAAACAAGCGTCCTCCTCGCTGAAGTCCCGTGTGACCGCCACCAGAAAGAAACTGCTAGATTCAGCAGAGAGTCCCACAAGTTACTCTTTAGACGAGACAACTTGCGTCGCTTTTGTTCTGTCTGCTCACAGATTGCGTCACGGGGGCTATCGTAACGGAGTTATCGTAAGCACGAGACTACAAGGAGTGAAAGAGAGTAACGTTAAAATGGATGTGGCGGATGCTCAACAAAAGATGTTTACTCTACTTATTAAAACGCCCAACCAGGCTCAGGAGGACCAAACCGTCGAAGGCGTGTATCCGAACTGGACTGTAAAGGACCTGAAAACGCATTTGGCGACTGTTTACACGACCAAACCGGTGAGTTATTAACGTTATGAGGCGGAGAAGTTAGCAGGCTAATGTTAGCGGAACTAGGTGGCCGCGCTCGAGGCTGTGTTCTGGAATGTCATGAGCCAGCTGAGTGGGCTGCTGCCAGAACAGCTGTCTGCCACTGTTACTGTCTGGCTTTCCGTGTGTGTGCTCACGCCAAAGCTGCACAACTACGATTCTTGGTATTACGAACCTTTTAAAGGACTTCCAGTGGTTCCTGTTGGGAGTTTTACTTCCTTGAAAATAACTCTGTAGAATCATATCTAACTTACTGCTACAGTAAGGTTAGTTTGTATGCTATCTAAAGCATATCTGTCTGTGTTTATTTAGGTTTAAAATAGTTTGGGATAACCTGTTATAAAGTGTTGACCTTACAATATATACTTTGATTTGTGAAGCATGTGTGTTTAAAATAAGCCTAACACCACGTTGGAAGGCAGAATGAGCTGCGCCCTGGCCTCTCTAATAAGAGAGTCAGCTAAGTACCTAAAATCTTAAGGAGGTGTGACTGCCAAGTTTCATCCTCCCGGCAAGACTGCAGCCTTGAAGGGCACAGCGACAAATCCAGGCAGCCGCTGAGATGAGCTAATAAAGATGAGCAGAGGAGGATCTATGCCTCAGTGGGATACTGGATGGAAAGTGGCCAGGCAGTAGACTTTAAAATATATTTGTCCCAGAGGAAAGTTAATGATTATTGATCAAGTCTGTCACTTCTTGGGGAAAATAACCATGTGCTTCAGCTGTGGGAAGGCCGAGATACTGCGGTATTTCCCTAATTGCCCTAAAAAGTCAGTACAACTACCACTGGCACTGCACTGGCACAAGTCGTTTCCCATCTGCAGAAACATCACTCAAATCAAACCACTATGTAGGTAATAATAATAATAATTTGTCACTAAAGTAACTTTATCCCAAATGATTGAACTAAACGTACTTGTTTGTTGTCCTTTAGGCTGTGAGTGACCAGAGACTGATCTATGCTGGTAAACTGCTGCCCGACCATCTACAAATAAAAGATGTCTTCAGACAGGTATGTGTGGGAATAAATGTGTCTGTTTGCAGGTGCACATGTATGTTGGCATCCTGTCTAAATATATTTTCTTAGAACCTCATGTCAGGAAAACATGATTTCTACTTTTACGCTGAGATGACTACGTAGCCTGTGCATATGCCGTAGCCTGACGTGCACCTCCTTAAAAATGTAACCACACGTTATGGCGACACAGACCATAAGAACTGTGATTAGTTGGCTGGGTAGCCTCGCAATCCCTCCAAGCCGACAGGAAGTGCTCTGTGCTTTAAAGTAAATTTTACTAGTGGCCAATCCAGCGGCTGTAACACGGTGGATTAATATATTTGAGTGTCACACCCACATTCGGTCGATAACATAAAAAGTCTATATGAGCCGCACAGAGGCTATATCATTTTACCCCCATTCGAGTTAGTGGAGGGCTAAACCGGAAGTTCAGCCGGCAAAAGTCAATACAGTGGACGCTGTAGCACTACCACCAACGAGCGTTTGGTGGTGTAACTGCAGAACAACGCAGACACCGACGCACAAGTATAATTGCCTGGCTCCGTGCGTAGCCTGCGACGTAGTCTCCACACAGAAGTGTACATCACCCTTAACAGAAAGAGCAAAGGTCAGAAGCAGCAGTATAGTTTTTTCTGTTCATTTGGGTTAAGTGCTGTGGGAAAATGTTTCTGATGCTAGGGGAAACCCAGATTTTTATAAATTGCATCCACATTTTTGCAGATTCCACGACATTCCGCCATTTACACCTGATTCCATTTTCATTATTAAATTCTGCAATTCCGTCCGAGTTTTCCGCATCGCACCTTTATGCTACTCTTATGCTGCCAACAAACTTGCTATCCGGCCTCCCTTTCCCCCACCAACATGTGTCTGGTTCGTAGTTTTCCAATCAACATCTTCAGATAGCTTAATATTCTCAGACATTTTGCACCAGACTCTGATCTGATTCTGTTCCATGGCGTACCATTTGTGGGCTGGAAAGGAAAATAAAGAGGGTATTATGAAGTTGTACAGTAATCACATTGAGTTAAATTGCAAAAACATTTGGGTGTCAGCCTGCTCTGCGTTGTTGTTCATGCCAAGCCTTTGTTCTTTGTCAGTGGAACATCTCCGTAAAGTCTATTAAAGGAATATTTCATGCTCATACAAACAAGTTTAATAGGCATTAATTCTGTTTGCTGTACTACTAATAGTTTAATGTATCTATGTGCATGAAGCTTTTATAATCAGGCATTTATCTGTACTTTCTCAGACTGACTGCATTCCCACAGTGCACCTGGTGTGTGCTTTTAGGAATCCACCCAAGGGACCTCTGGGAGCTAGACCTAAGGTGAGAAATTATGATGTTTACTCATGTTCGACTGTCCTCAGACCCCATGCACTGTTTTCAAAACATACTTTTTCAAATGAAAAAAATGAAATTGTGTTTTTACCCCCTGGTTAGTGGCTGCCAGGTCATCATGCAAGTAGAACAGACATGTATTTATTAACATTCCCAAGAACCCATCAACATGTCAGATTGCCACCAAGAATCTGATGTGTTTTGATAAAACTAACCTAACAGTTATCTCTTTTCATACAGAGCAGGGCTAGGCCATAGTCTGTGTAATATTATTTACAGAGACCCAACAATTCCACTGTGAGCATCTGTGTGTCAGTTACAGATCACAGACGATTTAAGGTTGGTCACAGCTGTTTATAGTGAAATCACAATGCTTGTTTTCCTCTAATTTAATGGTAAAAAGAGCTTGGATTTGAAAGAGTAGACCATTTTAAAGTCATTTAGAAATCCTGCCTTAATTCAGATTTAATGTCATCATCCTTAAAAAAAAGTCATGTGTCTCCTCAGTGACATTGGGTAAATGAAACCTGAGTGTTCAGTGAAACTCCTGTTGGTTTTGTATTTAAAATTGTGAGGCCATGTAAGCAAAACAGCTGGTTTCAGTTTAGGCTCAACAGTGTACTTCCATTGCTTGTCAGTGAAAACCTAGCTTTGCATACTGGGTTTGTTTCACATATTTACCACATATTCATGTGCAGATTATATGTGGGTCCCAACAATGTATCTACATTTAATTTAAAACTCATTTAAATGATTTTAAAGTAATGGTGGAGACCTTGTTTTTACACCATGTAGGTGTGTCAAGGTTAGCAATTGCATTCCACATGTTTCTATAAATGCCTTAACGAAGTTTCAGTTTCATAAATTCAACAGCATATGTCAGCTCTGTGGGACTTCACAGGAACTCCCGTCTCCTGTGACATATCAAGCGCAAATGCAGCGTTAGTTTGGAGGCTGACAGCTGCACTTCTTCACCCTCTCCCTCATTTCCATCCTACCATGGAGTGGAACTGTTTCACTTCAGCTGTCACCCTTCAGAACTCAGCTGCAGTTTAGAGTTCAAAAGTGTAGTTAAAAATAACTTACTTTAGTTTCACAACACATTCAAGTGTCCTGCTCCAGCTAATGCTGCAAAAGAAACAATAAAACTCACTAGACGTATCTTATTACAGTGGGTTTGCTGTAGCTCAGTGACAAACATTGTTCAAATTTAAAAACAACTTACAAAGTCTGGTTGCCTTCGCAGACCAAAGAGACAGAACAGCCACATCCCACCAGTCCGAGGCCCACGGCAGCCTCTGCTTCACCCAGTCCCAGCAGCTCCTCCTCCACGGTCCAGACTCCCAGCACACCGGAGCTGAGGCAGAGGAGGCAGACCTCTCCGACCTCAGCTGCTGCTCCAGCTCACACACATACCCCAGTGTCTCCACCAGGAACTCCTTCATGGCCTGCTGTTGCAGTGTAAGCTGTGTTCACTGACACGACCAGGCATCACATCTTAGCAAAGTTCAGCTGTGTTCAAGATATTTTTCCAGAACAACTGAAAGAAATTAGATGTAGACCAGTGAGAACAGCAAAAAGCTGCATGAGGTCAGAATTACACAAACTTTAGACTGGCCCTTAAAATCACAGTAATCAGCTGAAATTTCCTGCTTTGGTGATTTCCCTTTTTTTTTTTCTTTTTTTTTTAAGATTCAGATCTTGTTGGATAATTTCAACATGCACTGTTAATAAAGTGATTAAACGGCTGTTTTCTTCTGTCCTGAATTTCCATCCAGCTACAGAGACAGCATCGTCTATTTGACAACCAAATCACACCAAGCATTGTAGAAAATTGTCTACATGCGGAGTTTCATTGTCAAAGCCTCCCTCTGCATGCAGCTACATTACCAAACACCTAGGGGAAGCCAAAGAGACGTGATGTGCGCTTAGAAAGGAGCTGCCACTCAACAAAATGCAGATAGTATATTTAGATAAAAGTTTTGCCGTCACTTCTATTATAACTAGAGAAGATAAAGTTTAAAATAAGAAATGGAGCTGACTCTTTGCTATTGTTCCAATGTTCACTGACTGTAACCTTTATCCAGTGTTGAACAGAAATGAACCATCTGTCTCTCATCTTTCCCTGCAGGCCTGGAGCACCACAGATGACCCAACCAGCCTTTCCCACCTACTCCCTGTACAGCCCTCAACAGCTGCTGTGGCTCCAGCAAGTCTACGCTAGACAGTATTACATGCAATAGTGAGTTTTTATTTATACACTTTTAATTCATACTACTTTTTTGTTGGTGTGGGTTCTTCCTTTAGCCTTGCAGGCTGTCATTGTGGTCTGACGTTTCTAATACTCTTGATGTTTGTCTTATTTTCCACCGACAGCCACGCAGCGTTGGCAGCAGCAGGCACCGTCCCCGCTGCACCACCTACAACCATCGGCCAGTACCCTCCTGTTCCCGCCCACCAAGTACCTGTCCCAGCCGTCCCAGCCGCCTTAGCCAATCAGCCAGCGAATCCGAACCCAGCGCAGGACGCCGCTTTCATCAACCCTGGTGAGGCCAACCAGAACATGCGGATGAACGCGCAGGGCGGGCCCGTAGTGGAGGACGATGAGGATGTGGAACGCGATTGGCTGGACTGGTTGTACTCAGCTGCAAGATTTGGCGTTCTGCTCATGATCGTGTACTTCAACTCCAACCTGACTCGCTTTCTGCTGGTGATGAGCACCCTCCTCCTCATGTACCTGTAAGTTCAGTCTGTTGCTTTTCTACTTTGACATCTATGAACTTTTCATTTTTCAGTCCATCTCTCATCAAAAACCTCAAAAAATACTCATACACAAAGTAGCTGACTGTGTAAACATGTACTGTATGTGTACAGCCCAGCCTTCAGGATGTGTATCCTTGAAACCTGTTATACCAAAGCTACAGAACAAACCAGTGAAAGCAGTTGAAAAGCTAACTTTTGTGGTCCACACATTATTATTTTACAGATTATTATTATTATTATTTTACAGAACATGTTTTTCTGGTCAAATACGATTGAGAATAAGACAGAATGTTCAGAGAGTTACCTGCTGAATTGACTTAGTGGAGTAGATAAAATGCATGAGTAAACATTTGGTTGGTGAATGACGCTGATTGCAGACAGATGGGCTTCTCCCACCTCTGGTGGCTCCGCCGCTTTCTGTCTCTCTCTCCCTGAATGTATCTGCTTTGTTGACTTTCACCATCAGCAGTATTTTTTCTAAAGTTGCCGAAAAGATAAATGGCGTGTCTCTTGGATTTGTCTGTTTTCACAGCAGCGGGTGCGCTCTGTAAAATGCTAAAATACAGTCTATGGTTGCCAATTATACCTGGGCGTAGCTGCTACTGCGTAGGCTCAAAGCAGAAGTAAAAATTGGCTGCACCATGTATTTTTTACCTTTCAAAATGTCTTAACTTTTAAATCTTGTTTCTGTTTTTATGCTGTTAAGTCAAAACCATAGTTTCTCATATTTTAATTAGCAAATAAAAGTTCTGTCTCAGTAATATCAGTAAAGATAAATGTCACTTCAAATCTTTGTAGAATAGCTTTGAATTCTACGTAGTCTGTATATCTCTTATGTATCTGTCAGCCATCTTAGCTTGTGTGTCTGACTTTACATCTGTGGTACTGCAGCAGGATGTGGTTACTCACTTCCTTAAACAAGTTTTTATTCAAATAACCTAATGACTGAATATTCATCTGAAAAACAAAAAGGGACACCAATTGCATTCCTTCTCAAAGCTAGTTTTACCTATTGAATGTGTATACTTTGAATTCAAGCTGAAGCAGTGAAGGTGTCTCCGTTTTGCTACAGCATATGAAAAATATTATATTTAATAATTGTAATTATTCTTTTTTATGAGTGATAGTAACTGTAATCAGGTCTGTTTCCTTGTGCAGCAGTGCACAGAGTCCATCTGACAGACATCATCACTGTTCTCATCAGTTCAAGCCACGTTGTTCTTTTACTAAACATTTCCCAGTCTCACACTCTGTTGGCTGTTACTCACCCCCGAGTCCCCGATAAACAAATATACATACACAGTCCATTTCTTAGGCATGGATGAGATGGGTTTAGATGTATATTGAATGTGTTTGTTTGTCAAGGGAAAGCAAAGAATAATGAATTGTTGAAAGTGAGAGACATGCTGTCATTTCTCTGAGGGGAATATCCTGTGTTTCTATAATTTCTATAAGAAATGAACTAAAGTCAGCTCTTCAGAACGTAAATAGGAAGGACACAGCCCGCCCCTTTAATATACACCGTCAGTTGGCATTCATTTGACTAATGATTACACACCAGCTAGTAGGTTAATGTTTAGAGACATAAGCAGCACTGTTTATGTCCTGTCCCCTCACTTTCTCTTTTCAGTCAGTTGTCTAATCCTCTTTGACCACTCACTAAGCCAGGAATGTAAAGGACAGTGGTTGCACTTTCAACATATGGTGCCTGTTAGCAGCAAGAAAGTAACAAGATATTAAAATGTACGGTGTGTGTGTTTTAATATAGAAGATAAATCACAAAAATAGATGTATACAAATTATAGTATTTATTGAGACCACTTCAATGTGTATCTACAAGCATCCAAATATAAGGATAAGAAGCTGGAAGTGTAAATTATAAAAGGCAAACTATGAATAATTGAAAATTATATATTATTATTATTATTACCCCAAAAATGTTCACCGGTCTTGAAGTATATTTTAGTCATTTGATACATTGTTAATATAAAAACATTGAGTAGAGCAGCTTTAACTATGTAATCTGAGCGTGGTCACTCATACTGACAGGCCCACAGAGAATTATCACCCAGCTCTGTGGGGCATTCTAGCATCTTTCTGTTTTGGTTCAGTCTCATCACTTTTATTAATCTTGTGAGCATTTAGCAGCTAAAAATATTTCCCCCAAGAGTTGGAGGAGACCAAAACAGAGCTAAATAGAGAGTGAATGTTGGACTTACAAACATGATGATGGTGACAGCTTGGCTATTGATGCAACTGCACACTGTATAATATAAAGCTCCACTAACCAACTTTGTCCACTGGTAACCCCAAGCATTAGAGAGTGCTATTGGTTTACACCAATAAACTGCAGAGTTTGCAAATCAACAAAACGTCCTACTAGTTTTGATGAAAAGAAGCTTTGCATAAGTGTTGATTTTACAAGTTTTACACGTTTATAAGTGTTTGCCTCAAAAGGTCTATAGGTACTAAGTCGACTTCTTTCTTCGTCTATTTTTTTTTATTTTGCATTAATATAAATGTATTTTCTCTCGTTTCCACAGACACACTGTTGGTTGGTTTCCCTTCAGAAGGCCAGTGCAGGTCCAGGAACCCAACCTTGTGCAGCCCCCTGAAGTCCAGCACAACCAGCTGAATGAGAACAGGAACCAAAACCCAAATCCAGTAAGAATCTCCCAAATCTTTCCCACTGATTCACTTAACTCTGTAGGGCATCCTCATATCTCAGTGGCTCATAGGGCTGTGCATTTAATTGAAATTTAATCCCAAGTTGCTGTCATCCTCTTGTCTCTAAGACGCTGTTTTAAAGTTAAAAATATTTAATTACTATTTCCTATTTCGTGAATTTCATTCAAATGAAGCATTTAATTTTAAAAGTTCAGTAAATGCGTGATGTTTCCTAAGTCAGTCAATAAACCAATCATCAGTTTTTACCATAATCAAGCAGCATTAGTGGTTCATGGTCTGTCCTTTGATGACATGACATTCTGGGTTCTGCTCTGGTCTATAACCTGCATGTAGGCGTGGATGTTCCATATCAACCACAGCGCCTCGAAAAAAAAACACTGCGCCTCCAAAACGCACCCTAGCGCTCCCAGCTAGGCGTTTTCAGAACAGCAGGTGGCGTTTTCAGTGGGTAAAAAAACGCTTTGGTGGACACGTGCCCTAAGGCTCAAAAATCGACTACAGGTTGATCTGTGGATTGAAATGTATACTTCAGCTGAAAACATGTTTAAAACCCACTGCTATAAATCATCCTATTATGATGACTTTGTCTATTCAGGCTGACGAGCTTGCTGCCAGACAAAGGGAGGAACCTGCTGCTGCAGCAGACGGATCAGATGGACAAGAACCAATGACGGCAGTTTTAGTGCCTCCTCACCGGGTGTCAGTCATGTGGACCACCTGGGTTTTCTTCAAAACCTTCTTCTCCTCCCTCATACCTGAGGTTCGTCAGGGTGTGGCCAACTGACCACCTAGGGCAGATGATTGATGCTGGAGATGCTTAAAAGCTGGTGGAAGGAAAAGGAAAACATCTGGAGCTGTCAATTCAAGAATAAATAAAACCAAGGCTCTTGTAGGTGTGCATGTCAACAATGACTGGGATCTCCCTATAGAGACGGAATCTTGGACTAGTAGTGATAATTGCTCTTCCTTTTGAGTGAAAAACACAAAATTAAAACACCAGCAAAAGAAAGCAGTGCCAGACCCTTGAATTTACCCAAATGTGGCCTGGAAACAAAGGACACGAAGGACTAGATACATCAGTCACATTTTTAACCATAAGAAATTGTTTTTGGAATACCGATCCTGACCAAACAGCTTCTGTTGGTTTTTACCCCTCCCCAAGGTGTTTTTCTGTGTGACAAGGCCTTCTCCATGAAACAACAGTAGGTGGCAGCTGAGGGTAAAAAACAAACCTGTTAGCTGACGCTGTTGGACTACTGTGCCTAAATGATTCTTCCTGTGAGGAGATTTATGTACATGGGCTTTCTGATCCCATAGGATTCCAAATCAGCTTGTCTTGAGTTTTCATATTGAAGAATATGATCCAGATGGATACTCACACAATTAGAAGGATTATATGAGCCATGCTCAGTTGAAGTGAAAATTCACACACAGACAGAATTGGTTCTGTATCTTATGGCTATCCAAATCTAAATTGTGTTGAGGGATGGATTTTTTCTATACAGACTGTCCGCACGCTGTGTTTGATAGGAAAGATGTTGTGTCCCAAAAGGATTTGCGCTGATTTTATAGCATTCAGATATTTTACTTGTTTTTTTAATCACCCTTTTCAAAGTAGGTTATTAAAAATTTGATTTTGATTTTCTGTATTCATTCAAGTCTAAAGTATGTTTCTCAAATTTATCAGTTCAATTAAGACCACAGATTCAGATTATTTTGGCCTTTCTTTGCTTCCGTACACTGTGTAGTGTACATTTCACAGCCTGCATGCTAGCACAAACTGACCATGACTTTAACTTCAGTTCATGAACAAAACTTGACGAGGAGAACAAAATCCAAATCGTGAACAAAAATCATGATTCAGTCATGTTGAAAATAACATTGTACCCCTCATATGACTTTTCTATACCAGTTCTGTTGTGGGTGGATTTTCCTGTTATTGAGCACCAGGTGATGGTGATTGTGACCAAATGCAAATTAGACTACTACTTTCTGCCAAATCGTTTTCTGTAAAATAGTGATATTGCCACAGTAAAAAAGTTTTGTAAATATACCATATGTACACAAAGCACTTTACAACAAGTATCTTATGCAAGCTTCTTTACATATAGAGGGTTATGATTTATTATTCTTCATGGGAATATTTCTAATATAAATATAATGCCTTAATGCAAAGCGTTCAGAGGTGGGCTTTTTGTTTTTTTCAGAGAAGGGACTGCGTTTAATTTTCAGGTCAAGTCTAAAATCCCTATAAAACCAATCAGTTAAAGGTCAAATCAGTGTCATTTGATTTACAGCTAATATTGCTTGAGAAAAAGTTTTAATTATTTATTATGCTGGAAACCATCTTTAGAATATGCTAACCTCTCAGCTGGCCTGTAAGCCCTCTCTATAGTGTTGTCTTTGTTCGCAGGGATTGCTTTCTGTCATTATTTTGCTGTCACAGGTCTTAACCTCATTTAGTCAGCCTTCCAAATATAAACTAAATGCAGTGTTATGAAGCTACACATCATTCCTCCTGTGCTGTCACTATTTAAGCATTTTCATCTCATCATTTTGATTGAGAAAAATTCACTTTCACAGATCAAGTGCACAAATGAGGATTTGTTACTGGTCACTCTACCCAAGTCATCAAAATTATGTTCTGCTGTTAAGTGACTTGAGATATTATGCATTTATTAACTGACTGTAATCGGTGCATGTTTTATTGAGCTATAACGAGGAATAAGTGGGTTTTACTATCTTCTCTTAACAATGTCGCTGTGGATTACACCTGGAGTGAAACGTCCCTCTTCTTGTAATCCAGTCTATTTTGTGTGCAGCATTAGCCCCTGCTGTAAAGTTAGCACTCTGGCCGTAGTCTGTGACAGTGGTCACCATGTAGAACGGGACATTTTAATGTTAAGACAAGCTTTTCTTATATTTTGTCTGTCTTTGTGAGAGAATGACAATAATGGATGCAATAAATGTTCTTAACTTTAACTGTATTGTGTTGATTTGTTGCAGATGTGGTTTGTGAGGATAATGTTCCTACTAATTTCAATACCAAGTGTGCAACTAGAGTTTCCTGGCAACCCATTTTAGATGCATGTCCTCAAACAGGGTACACATGTTCTGTTGCATTATAAATATGACCTTAAGTACATTCTCTAGTTGCACCGACCCCACTACAGAAACAAGTAGAGTTTGCTACAGATACATGCACTAGTGTGACCAAACCTGCAGGACTCCCCGATTGACCAGCATGTTTACCTGTAACTGTTAAATTCTAGCTGTAAGATGATGTACAGTTCATTTCACTGAGACAATATAAAGTGTCTACAGCCATGCTAGCAGCCCTGTGAGGCTGTACTTCAGCACGGCAGGTCTGGATTAGCAGTAAAGGGTATTGGAGGTTAGGGTTGTATTATTAGAGGCCTGTACTATGAAGGGGATTTAATCTACTCAGATTTAACTCAGGGTTATCAAGGAAAGTCGGGGCTGACAAACTCTGACTACCTACATTGGTGTTAAATAGTACTGCGAAGGTGAATAAGTATTTTCCCCAGAAGAATGCACAATGATGAGGCCAGAGGAGTGAGGAGTGTAAAGAATGGTTAACAGCCAAATCTAACACTGATGGTTAACAAAGCCAGCGAGGCTTGTTGAGGAAAGTAACTTTTGTCTTACTGACTTTTATTTGTAATAAGATTGAGATGTAAAGGTAAAACAAAGGGCCATTAGGGACATTGTATGTTTAAAAAAAAAAGTGGAGAAAGAGGGGTAATAACCAATAAAGCTTCACACCACAGGCGCTGCTGCTTGCTGTGTGTCGCGCCCGCAGTGGAATAGCAAATTATCCTTCACACTCGATTCTGCAATGAGGAAATACTCCTTGTTTTAGAGCACTATCACCATATTTTTAAATAATTTCTGAGTTTAGTTCTTGTAAATGTACCACCTTCATCTCGGATCATTACCCCCTGGCTCCGTATTTTTCTAAATATCTAAATATGTGAAAACATTTAAGATAATTCAGTTATACATGTGGGCTACATCATATCTCAACTGACCCATTAATGAGTTAAGATCTACTCCCTTAATGGCTTAGAGGCTGTTGGGCTGTGTGTATGACTAATGTTCATTTCAAGAATAACTTAATTTCAGCTGCAGCCTCAGTGGGAAGCAACAATGGCAACAAGTCAGGATAAAATCTAAAAAGTCTATCAAGTGGTGTACTAATAGTTATCATTAACTCTGAGTACAGAGTCAGCAGACCTTGGGTCAAACCCATCCGCCTTTAGTAGTACAAGTTAATAGGAAAGTTACACCCAAAGTCACAAAGTTACTCCTGAAGTTACCTGGATAAGCCAGTGACCTAGCTTTGTAGCACAGGCCTCAGGTTTACCATCGCCGCCATGTAAGTTTAGCACGTTAGTTTTACTTTTGCGAACTAGCACCACTACATACAAAGTTTTCCAGTTGTGCTTTGTACTCTGTAAAAATGCATTCTAAAGTTCGGCCAAAGTTAATATTCAGCAGTCTGAGTTACACAAATCAAGGTGGGATAAGTGGATGTTTATGGCACTGGTCAACACTACAGCTGAATAGTCTATTTTTGGCAGGGTTATTGCACAATGAACCAGAGAGCAGAGGAGAAATCTGAGAGCAGATGATTCAAGAGCGCGAGGAGAAGGGCTGAAGTTGGAGTGCAGGACAACTGTGCAAGCGACAACACATCTGAGTGCGAGCACACAGTTTGAGCCGCAGCAGAGCAAATCTGAGCACAAGCAGGGGCTGTTTGAGTGCGAGGGCAGGGTTTTTTGAGGGAAAGTGTTATTGAAAGATCACGCTCCCCTTCCCTCCCCATTTCCTGTTCAGTTCAGGACAACCTAAACTCACTCCGCTGGGAGGAGAACAAATAGACATCCCCACCAGGGAATGAAGAGTTCATGTTACAGCCAGCTTCTGTATCTAGTTTCCCCCGTGAGCCAGCACTTCTTGAAAGAGTCTTTGTTCAGATAAAGCTGGACCTGAAAGTGTACCTGGATGTAGTGGCGTTCTACACCTGTTGAGAGCAGGGAAAGCAGAATAAGTTTAGATGCGTTATGTAGAGAACAGCTTCTGATCCATCACTCGTACATGCTCGTCTCCAGCATGTGGGCTTTGTTTAGACTGTGAGGATTTAGTGTTTCTGCTCATTTTAAAGGCATCTTTGTGGGGTATGTATACTGGCTGTGGTTGTCGCAACAGCAAGGCTACAAATCTACCAACTGACACTTTCTACATGCAGAACTGTTCAGTGCTATCGTATCTGGTCCTCTACTTGCTACTTTTATCACGTGCTAGCTTCTTTAACATGATCCATGTGTGGAGAAAATGCATATGTCTTTTGTTTTAGCATGAAATTTCTGTGCTCAGTGTTTGATCTGATTAGATCAAATGTACAAGTTTGTGTATCTAAGCTGAGCTTTTGTAGCACTGTCATCACCAGAAAAGATTGTACTTTGACCAGTTTACTTTAAAGGGACCTTGTGTAAAAGACAAACCTGAGTCAGTGTTTGTCCTTCCTTCAAATGTGAATCAAACAAGTTGTCCATCTCTGATTGGATGAAGGGCAGGGTCTTCACTAGATCGCTGTAGTACATAGAGCCCTCCCTGACAGTGGAATGATCACAGCTAGTAGACTGCAGGGTTCTCTCAGCAGGTACAAAGGAAAGTCCACAGAGGCTGGCTGAAATCTGGAAAGTCATGGTCACACATGTGTGAGAGCGTATTTGCCACCGCTCATGGGAATTGGAATCTAAATGGGACCTAAAGGAAGAATTTCAAAAGCTCTGAAACTGAAGTGAGATTGGATAAGATACTGCTCCGTGGCCTTCAGTAGTCAACTGATTAAACTTGTGTAACAGTGCTCTGCTGTGTAGTGAGCCAGTTGCACCAGAAGGAAACCATTCAAACAGTCCACAGGGTTAAAAAAACCCCAGCCGACTCTCAGAGAGGTGAAAGATCAACGTGCACGATGCCTTGTGATTTTTTCCCACCGCCACTGCCCCTGCTGCTGCTCCTCTCTGTGTTTGGGGCTTCCCGCGCCTGCCTGCAGGACCCCACTTCGGCCTACAGATTCACCGGAGCTGTGTGTCGCCTCACCTACCCTGCAGCTGTTGTGTGTGAGTGGCACTTTTACCCCGTTTTTCTTATTTATCTCCAAAGACTTGCTTCATTTATCAGTTCAATCAGTTGAACCATTCATCCTTTTGCGAAACAACCTACCTAGTAATTGCTGTGAAAAGGATTTCAAGATGGATTTCACACCACTGGTAATTAGTGGTGGACTGCCAGTCTGCCAGGCATGGTTTCAAGGGTTAGGGTGGTAATGCTATCATTTATATAAGATTTTTTTGTATTATAGTGAGTAAACTTGTTTCCCTTATTTCATTTTAGCTTTTCATTTGTACATGAATGTGTTAAGTGTTTATGTTTCCCCACCTGACATGTACCTTTGTTTGAGTGTCTTTGACCAATGTTTGTGTGCTGCTGGCAGTGAATGAGAAAACAACTAAAGTGATTGAGGCAGCGTTCCAACATGCCAGATATCCAGGTTTGAAGGGAGAGAAATCCCTGCTCTTTGTAGGCAAAGTCATATATGGCCTGGACAAGTAAGATGACACACGCGCACACACACACACACACACACACACACACACACTTATACGCACATGCACACAAAGTGTCATAAAATCATGTAATGTTTCTTTATTGGCCAGTTTGGAGATTCACAACCTGTCGATTGGTCGGAGTGAATTTGAACTGCGTCCAGGAGAAGGCATCGGCATGGAAATAAGCAACGTGTCCGCTGTCTTTAAAGGGACCATCCAGTATGGATACGGCAGCTGGCTGTGAGTGTGTGTGACCATCAACATCACATCATTCACTGCTTCTCTCAGAACAAGGCCAGCGAAAGAAAAGCACATGCAACACACAGCAAGATAATCATATTTAAAACACTTAGTTCCATTGTGGTTTTAGGTGGTTGTGAAATTCTCTACATAGCACCAAGTTATCTGCACGTAGAGTTTATTCTAGATGCCTCATAGCGTATGGGATTCTCCCAGGGCTTGTTGGTAAACACGTGTAACCAGATGAGCTAACTGCTAACTTCCAGATATCCTTTCTAATTTCTCTGCACTGTGCCATTTACTACCCTCTGGCTTTTTTGTTCTCATTATATATAAAAGTTCAATCAATCCAGATTTTCGTTGCAAATTAAGCTCTTGGTGCTAACTAACGTGCAAACTGCTAGCTGCTAACTGTCAGTTAGCAAGCGAGATACCTCTGTCACTAATGGGACAATATGTTCACGCTGTTTATTAAAGCAACATTATTTAATAATTTTATCTTAAAATAACAGCTTCACAATGATTTTGATGGTACACTTACTTGTAATAGGGTGAATGGCTGATCTGTTTAATCATAAGTAATTTAATCGTAACAAATGCAGGTGTATAGCTAGTCCTTATTTACGACGGATCAGAAGGGGCGCCAAATCACACCAAATCTTACATAATGTTGCTTTAAAGAAATGACAGAATTTGGAACAAAAGACGATGTACCAACTATTGGTCAACAAAACCATTCCTCTTTTATTGAGCAGTTAATAGTTACACAATAGTCACACAGCTAATAAGCTCTGATAGCTTCCTCAAGTTTGGACTCTCGGTTCAAAAGTCAGCACTTTCAAGACCGCTTGCTATTGGTCAACGGCACTGATTTGTGGGTTGTAAAGTATAATTGGATTAACTCTCGTGAGTGAATCCGCTAATCGCATTGATTCCAGCGGAATGAATTGATTTTGCAGCAATATTTAACAGACAGATGGACTTTGAATTTTGTCCCTCAGGAAATCTTACACCGCCAGGTAAAAATAAGTGTTCATCAAGGCGGTGGTTTCCTCTGTACGGATCTTATTACAAGCTAAAATACAAGGCGAGACAAAAGTTGAATTTATGTGCAACAAAAATCACCCTCGCTCAGTTCAGTACACTCTGTGGTTTTGTCTTCAGGCATCACATTTACCACAGATCACATGTCAGTGAGGGGAGTAATTCCTCTTTTTTTGATTTCCTGTTGATTAAGCTTTCTGTAGGTTACCGTACTTTCAGCCATGGTGACATCATCTTTTTTATACCGAAAAACTCTCCCAGGAGCCAATAGTACATTGATTTGTATTTATTTGCCATTTATATTCCCTTTTTCTTTTGTCATCTAGCGTCTCCCTTACACAGTCAATTGACTTTGAAATTGAGTCTCAGATTGATCTTGGAATCAACCCCAGACTTTGTAAGTACACTATTTTGTATGCGTACACAGGGAGTGAGCCTTGATAGAAACTGCAGTAAAAGCAGTGAATTAAGCCAGTATGTACTATGAGTTCCCAGACTTTATATTGCATATCCTTATCTCCTATATAGTCTAATCATAAACCATGATGTACTTCACATTACCTCTGCTGCCTCAGAGAAGCTAACTGGTGGCTTCAGATTTGCTGCCATGGCATCATGCATTTGTAAAAGTCAGCAAACAGTCTTATGTTTATCCATGATTTTTCAGTCTATGGTGTCAAATCCAAAATGCTTCCTCACTACTTGTACTTTTTACATGATTATTCAGTGCAACTGCTGGTTCAGTGTACTGGAACCTTTTTATGCTAATTTAAGCACTGAATAATAAAGACAGATACCAACTAACTGCCTTTCATGTCAGCTGTTCTCTGTTATCTCTGTCTGGTCAGACTGCGGAAAAGGAAAGGTAGCGGCAGACACGTCAGACTGCTATCTGAATTTTCACAAGCTCCGTCTGCATCTGCAGGGCGACAAAGAGTAAGTTAAAAACCTGAACCCTGATGCACTGTCAACCAACAAGAACAGAAGAATCTGCATTATATAATAACAGTGTCTGACAGTGCTCATGTGTGTTTGCTGTTGTTGTTCAGACCGAACTGGCTGAAGAAGCTTTTCACCGACTTCATCATCTTCACCGTCAAACTGGCCATAAAGGGACAGGTGAGGGCGAGAGAGACAGAACTAACCAGGACCACGGCCAAACTGATTGTTGGCGTGTTCATGTCTTCTTATAGTCAGAATAAAGGCAATACTGTAGCAATGATGTGCTCTCAAACACAGATTTGTAAGGAGATCAACAAGGCGGCAAACGTACTGGCTGACTTCATACAAGACACAGCAGGTGTGTGTGTGTGTGTGTGTGTGTGTGTGTGTGTGTGTATTAGAAAGCACATTCCTTTGGTGTGGATCTGTGTTAGGTCCATATATTTGACCATTTGTGTTAAAAACAAATATTGATCTGGTATGTACAAGTGTTCATATTTTTATCTGGGGTGTTTATAAAGGTGTGTGTGCGCACATGTGCATTTACAGAGCAGTTCCTCAGTGATGGAGACATCAGGGTGGACATCAGTGTAGCTGCTGCTCCTGTAATCACTGCTAACTACATAGAATCATACCACAAGGTAAATCATACCTGTATATAGAGTCGAAAACACAACCATATCGGCTGTGTTTATTAGCGATTATAATACTTACGGAGGCATTTTCACCATTGATACACAGTAGTTTATGGGAGACTGGGCTGTAACACAGAATATCCAAAGAAAATATCCAATGAGTGTACATTTAGAAAAGAATATATTTGTTTGAGGTGTAAAAGCTCTTATTGCTGTTTCTCCGTTCATCTCTCCACTTTTCTTTTGTGTGAATCTTCCAGGGGCTGACCAACTACAACGACACTTTCTCTGTCATCACTGACTCTGGTTTCCACCCCAGTCACCTGACGGAGAACAAAATGCTCTACTTCTGGATGTCAGGTCAGTAGTTAGGAATTAAATTGTTAAATTTCTCTAGACATGAAGCAGTTCCTATTTAGATGCCAATCCACAAAGTGATGGACATTTGGTGTTTGGACTTTCATGAGAGACTTAGCATTTTCCATCTCAGACCTGCAATTAACGTTTGCACTTTTATTAACCATTTATAAAATCTTTTCCTACCCTTCAACTGTTTTAGTTGCCCTGACCACAATCTTTCCCTGACCTTATGCATACCATAGGTGACATGTGCACCTATATTTGGAGAGCAAGAAAACAAAAATTACATGGCAACTTGAATATGTTCACATGACAGTGACATATTGACTGATTTCAGATCATTTCTCAAATGCCAAATTTAGATTGCTGTTTGCTCCAGTACCGTAACTAAAGAGCAGCAGCTCATTAGCAGCAGGGCAGTTCAGTGTCTCAGCTCTCAAGAGTCACCTCCTGCTTTGTGATTTAGAGGTGTATCGGTACTTAAAATTGTGTGCGGTACAGCTATAACTTGTGTTTAACCCCAGACCAGGTCTTTAACCCCTTGCTGACTGCAGTCCACAAAGACGGCCGTTTGCAACTCAATATCTCCGGAGCAGACCTCGCTGTAAGTACAATATGGCCTGCAGAACATCCAAGTGGAGGGCTCTGACCACAATGTCATCTTATTACTGCCAAGGTATAGGTCACAACTTAAAAACAAATCCATCAGAGTTCGTAAGAAAGACCCAACTGAAACCTTGAGGGGGTGCTTTAAACTGACACACTGGGACCTGTTTTATAATGACTGTGGTGATGACCCCCAATTTCACTTACTTACCTCTTTTTATTATATTTTATTATTTATTAATATTTTATTCTGTGAGGCTACTGTCTCTCCCACAAAGCAAATAACTATTCACCCAATTAACAAAAAATAGGTTACTAAGGGCATGAAAATCTGCCTGGTCCTGAAGAAAAAAGCTTTTTTGCTAGGAGACAAGCTCAGGGTGAGAGCGCTGGAGAAAGCGTTCAGGAGGAAGGCCAAGCTAGCTGAGATCCACTGCAAGCACAAGGTGGAGCAGAAACTAACCACTAGAAATGTGGGGGATGCGTGGCAGGGGCTTAAACATCATGATGGGCAGAGCCCCTAAAACCTGCACTGGATGGCTGCTCAGATCCCACGTCCTTTGCTGAGCAGGTAAACAGTTTCTTTACCCAGTTCAACAGTGGCAGCACTCCAATCACCCTGGACCTCCCCAACCCCCAGCTCCCCCTTCAAAGTCTTCACTATTGGTGAACAGCTGGTGACCTTCATCCTACGCAGAGTCAACCCACACAAGGCCACTGGCCCTGACAGGCTCAGAGGCAGGGTGCCCAAAGAATTCTCTGCTCAGCTAGGTTAGCTCTCACAAGGCTGTTCCAGCACCTCCTAGATTTTGTCTGTGTCCCCAACCAGTGGAAGGAATCCACCATAATTCCTCTTCCCAAAAAGACACCTGCTAAAGACCAGAAGGATTCCCGACCAGTGGCCTTGACATCTGTGCTGTTTAAATGTATGGAGAGAGTTGTGTGCAACCACCTGTCGATCATGCTGTCAGAGAAACAGGAGCCACTTCAGTTTGTCTATGATGCAAGTCTCACACTTTTAGACACTGTCACTAAACAGCTAAACACGGCACATCCACACACAAGAAAATTTATTCATGGACTTTTCTTCTGCTTTTAACACTGTAAATGCAACCAGCCTGCTGCTGCACTGCCTCTCTGACCCCCAGCTCCACCCGACACTGATTTTATGGATGAATAGTTTTTTTACAGGATAGACCACAACAGGTGTTTTTAAATGGGTTTGAAGGACGAGGTGGGCACACATGTTTAAATTTTAAATGTGTTGCTGTTTAATCTCTTGTTGGGTCTTCCATTCTATTGATTAATGTGATTTCAGGAACTTTTCAAGACAAATCTCTCCAGTGCAATGCCTGATTTCTTTAGAAAGGTAATGTTGAAAATCTTCCTCATACCAGCACACTAACAAATGCAAACATATACATTTTTGTCAGGTGATGCATATTATTTGCGTGTGTGTATGTGTATGTGTAGTGTCTGGAATCAGGTTTTCCAGAACTAAGGGTCTGGAGCTCATCTGCTCCCCACCTAAACACCTCCACCTCAGGTACGGCCGTCTCGGCGAAGGCCTCTGGGCAGCTGCACTGCGGGGGTCAAGGCACACCAACGCTCTTGTTTCAAACGGTATTTCGCTGTTTATTTTGTGACAAGACAGTTTCAGCCATCTGGTAGAAAGTTTAAGAACAGAACATTTGATGTGTTCAGGGTTGATCTGTTTTAATGCTCCCCATACTAACCAAAGGACGTTCTTCCCAACCAGGGATTCTTGGACCCCAAGAGGTGCTTCTGCAGTGGAACGATTGTAGAGCAGCTCATTCATTTGATTTTCTTTTAAATAATTTGTATTCTATTCAAATAGGAAATTGTAAATGTAGGAATACAATAACCAGTAAGCTACCATTTACAATAAGCTGATGGCACAGGACACGTCTCGCACTAACCAGAGAGGTCATAACCATTAGCTAAACGTAATGGATACACTGTTCAAAATCAATTCAAAGCAAATGGAAAACAGTTGAAACAGTTAGTTTAGAGCAATGGATAAACAGATAAAATAGCTAAATAGCTGCAATGGATGAACTATTTAATAAATTGCTTAAAGCAATAGATAAACAGTTGAAATAATAATCTTAAAGTAATGGATTAATGGTTGAAATAGTTCAAAGCAGTTTACAATTGAAATGACCACATTTGGAAAATGCAGGGTCACTTGATCTTATTTGATTTGGGTACACATCAGGAAAGAAAGTTGGGCACCACTGGTGTAAAGGATAATATTCAATGTGCATCTTGTCCATTAAGATTTATAATGCATGTATGCATGAATATAACTTTATCATAATTTTACTTTTCTTTTGTTGTTCCTTTTTACAAGATGGAAACGGTGGACAAGCAGACCGACGTACTTAGAGTGTCATTAACATATCTGATGTACACACAGATTGTGCATTTGAAACATTTGCCAGGAAACCCTTGGTATTGCATTTGTATGGCAAGAAAATATCACGATTCAGAATTCAGAATACAAGCGATCTCAAATATACTAACCACAGTCTACAGCTCTACTTTCAAATACTGAGGCAGATTGACGCACATCTCATATTACAAACTAGCACAGTACCTCTCTGATGCGAGTGCAACAAAACAAGTCCCCATTATGGTGGTCACACTGGGTATATCTTAGCATGATAGTTATGCTTTGAAAGGTCGATCCTGTGTTGACTTGTCTGCTTGAAGCGTGACATCACTAGCTGTACCTCATGATCCACAAGGTGAAAGTGGCTATTGATGCCTGAGGCATTTTTAAGCGGTGAAAATATGATGCTGTTAAGACTTTGTGAGGAAAAGTGTTTGAGTAATGTTACTTTTTTGTTTTTCATGTCCAGGATGTGGCCATGGATGTCACAGCTTCCTATGCTGACAAGAAACTCTTTCTGCACAGTAACACATCAAAGTAAGACCTTCCTTGTTGATTTTTACTGCTTAAGACTTACTTATCTTGATCTGCCTGCAGAGTTCAGGCTGCAACATGTTAAATTCAGCATACATGATCTAATTTAAAGTCTTTGGTTTCCCGACAGCCCTATCTTTGCAATAATCAGTGAGAAAGCCGTTGGTTCTGCGTTAAAGTAAACGGTAAACGCTAAATGGACTGCACTTATAAAGCTGGATGGAGAACATAGGCAGATGGTCACACTAAAGGTGTCAGTATGCTCAAAACAAACCACTTCATGCTGTAGCATGTCCTACAGTCCCCTCCAAAAGTATTGGAATAGTACGGCAGATTCCTTTGTTTTTGTTGGTCACTGAAGACATTTGGGTTTAAGATCAAAAGATGAGTATGAGACAAGAGTTCAGAACTTCAGCTCTCATTTTCTGGTATTCACATTTAGATGTGTTAAACAACTGAGGACATACCACCGTCTGCATTTGTGATGCTATTCCAGGCTATTAGCACAGCTTCTTTCAGTTCTTGTTTGTTTCAGGGTGTTTCTCCCTTCAGTCTCCTCTTAAGGAGGTGAAATGCATGATCTATGAGGTTCAGGTCAGCTGATTGACTTGGTCAGTCTAAAACCTTCCACTTTTTCCCCTGATGAAGTCCTTTGTTTTGTTGGCAGTGTGCTTTGGGTCATTGTCCTGCTGCATGATAAACTTCCTCCCCATTAGTTTTAATGCATTTCTCTGTAAACTGGCAGACAAAATGTTTCTGTCCACTTCTGAATTCATTCTGCTGCTCCCATCATCAGTTCCATCATCAATAAATATTAATGAGCCTGTTCCAGAAGCAGCCATGCACGCCCAAGCCACGACATGACCTCCACCATGCTTCACAGATGAGCTTGTGTGCTTCGGATCAGAAGCAGTTCCTTTCTTTCTCCACACTTTGGCCTTTCCAGCACTTTGCTAGAGATTCATCTTGGTCTCATCAGTCCATCAGATTGTGTTGCAGAACTTTTGCGGCTCATCTCTGTACTTCTTTGTAAATTTCAGTCTGGCCTTGCGATTCTTCCTGCTGATGAGTGGTTTGCATCTTGTGGTGTGGCCTCTAGATTTCTGCTCTCTGAGTCTTCTTCCAACAGTGGATTGTGATACCTTCACCCTGCACTGTGGAGGCTGCTGATGTCACTTACTGATGTTTTGGGGGTTTTCTTCACAGCTCTCATGATATTTCTGTCATCAACTACAGTTTTTTTCCTTGGCCGACCTGTTGGACGTCTGTTGCTCAGTACACCAGTAGTTTCTTTCTTTTTCAGGACGTTCCAAATTGTTGTGCTTGCTCTGCCCAATGTTTGTCCAATGGCTCTGCTCGATTTTCCTTCTTTTCTCAGCTTGACAGTGGCTTGCTTTTCTCCCATAGACAGCTCTCTGGTCTTCATGTTGGTTTATCCTCTTTAACAGGAAATGCAGTCTTTATAGGTTTGAACCGAGGATGAAAACTTAGACTAGTCATGTTTGGACAATCAACCTAAAAGGCAACACCTGGGCAACAAGAAACATCTGGCAGTCACATGTTCCAATAGTTTTGCTCACTTGAAAAATGGAAGGGTTCAAACAAAGGGTGATATGTCCTGAGTTGTTTCACATGTCTAGATGTGAATACCAGGAAATGAGAGCTGAAATTATGAACTCTTGTCTCATACTCCTCTTTTGATCTTAAACCCAAATGTCTTCAGTGAACAAGAAAAACAAAGTTATTTGCCTTACCGTAAATACTTTTGGGGAGGACTGTACGTCCTGTCTGAAGGCAAAGGTGTTGTTCTTCCGAATGGCTCTTGAAGGTGGGGTGAAGCACTTGGTTGTGCACAGGAAAGGTGACAGAATTAGGTGAGTAAAGAAGAATGGAAAAAAGAGAGCTAAAAAACTGTTAACTTCCTTACTGCCACACATGTGGTCCGTCTCTGTGTAAAGGGGACCTGATTGTCTGAATGTCAGTTTTGGAAAGTTACAGTATTTCAATTGAAACCATAGACTGTATCTAAGAAGTGGACGTAGTCATCGTGACGTCAACCCGTTGGTTACGGCAGTGTGGGGAGCTAGCTAGTTTGCTCAGCTAGGTGCATCTGTAATTCATGTTAACTGTCATTTTAACAGGGCTGACAATTTTGTCTGGCGATCAATCTTCTTAAAACTAAATGTACTCACCAGAGAAAGTGAGGGGAAAACGGAGTAAAAAAAAAAATTGAATCGATGGCCACTTAGGGTTTCCTTAGTGATTTTCTAATAAGCTCTTTCAACAGTGCTGGTAAATTTACACAGTGCCGTGGGTAGGAGTCACTCTAGCCGGATTGACAGGTTGCCATGGTAATGACTTGTCAATCACAGATAATCCCGCCCTGAAGCATACTCTGCTTTATGCTCTATTTTCCTCTCAACAGGACCATAATTTACTAAATGAACATCATGTTGTGTTGAAGAAGACCTGTAACTAGCGACTGAGACCATAAACGCATTAGGAAAGTGTTTACTGAGGTAATAAATCAGCTGAGAAGTAGCCTCATTACCATTATTTCTAACGGAAACGGACTTCTTTTTGCAATCAAAGAGTCGCCCCCTGCTGGCCATTCGATAGAATGCAGGTTTAAATGACTTCCGCGTTGGCCTAAGTTCTCTGACCGGAAGCTTCCCGCTTGACTAAAACATATTGACACCGACAGCCAGACAGCAGCCTGCTACACAACACAAACAGTTCAAATTTTGAACGATCCACATTACCTTTCTTCGTTACTTCTTTTAATTTAACAAACCAAGCTGACCAAGCAAACATCCATCAGCGAAAGGTGCACTGCTTGAACAGCTTGACCCAATGACCAAAATGTCATTTTTGTCAATTTAGATCCTGGTGTGACCACTTGCAATGAAATTCTGTCTGTCTATAGCTTGTAAGCTACAGTTTCCAGCACATGTTTGCTCACCTTGTCTCTCTGTGCCATAATGTGTCTCAGCCTGTCAGCCCCTGTCTCTATTACTACTATTCTTTTTAGTGTTTCCAAAAAGTAAACTTCTTCTTAGTCCATGTCCTGTGCTTGCTGTATGATGGTGATCCTCCTCCCTCTCTAGGATTGATGTATTCCAAGCTAAGCTGCCCTTACAAGACCAACCGGTAAGGTTTTTTGACCTGATTCTTGTTGAGGAAAATACTACAGTAAAACTATACTATATATTTAAATTTAAATGCATTTGAAGCTGTTATACAGCTACAGAGACCCAGAACATGGTGGAAAATATTTTAGATGGGAGATGAAAAAGACTCTTGCTTTCTCTCAAAAATGTGCGTTCTCTTACAAAGCTTTACCATTAGCCTTTCCTGAAACAATTTGTGCCCTGAGAAGTATTTGTCAGCATCAACATCAGTAAGACTTCCTGCTCTGCATCCTTCAAAATAAAAGCAATATGCCCTACACAAACTGACCATGACCACATTTACAGAGTAGATGTCTGTTATGTCTACAGTTAATAATTACACACATTATATGATATTAATTCTTCTGATACCAATTAGTAATCAGTTAGAAAACACAAGGTTTGCAAGAGGACACAAAAATAAGTCCCTCCCATGTAAATTAGTTTAGTCCATGTCGCTTGTTAAAATGATGCAGATGTTTTAATGTTTGATTGGACAGTCACCTCTCCCTCTGTTTCCAGCAGCTAGATGAGACCCAACTGGAGTTCATAAGAGAAGCTGTGGAGAAGATCGGCATTCCCAAGGTCTTGTCTGGTAAGAGACAGAGAAGTACACGTAATAAAGTGCAACTTTGCTTAAACCTCAACCCATTGTCGCCACAATCATTAAGTATTCTCCTAGAATGTCTTAAATGGATAAAAATCATAAAACATACCACACAAATATAAGGCTGTTACTATAGTGTAATGTGGTTTTCTTTGATACTTTTGTGGCATGTGTTGCAGTTCTTGAGATTGAGGTAACTAGGGTGTTGGACAAACAAGGAACAAACTTATTTGACATCTTCAACCCAGAGGTGCTTCCTCAGAACGTGAGTGTTCATGTTCACGTCATTTTGTCTTGTGCCCCTGTTTGTGTTGTATTTCTTAGTCCCATTGCTTCTGTCTTCCCCTCTCTTTGCTGCAGGGCTTTACGGTGATTCAGATGGATTTTGGTTTTCCTCATCATCTACTGGTTGAGTTCCTCCAGAAGACACTTCAGTAACTGGGCAACCCTTACACACTGAGACAGTGTGTTTACTGACTTGCCTAAAAGGGTTGCTCGTATAGAAAATGTACCCTTTACAGTGATTATCGACATGTATAAGACACCACATTTGAAAAAGGTGAAGAACTTTGTGTTTACTTTTAAATGTGTAGAATGTAGAATGATATATGTAAAGAAATCCCAAACTAAGAAGTTTTATATTTGTACAATACATTGGAGTTAATTATCAGATCACCAAAACTTTTTAGTTTTTTCTTTCTTTGTCTCTTTGTGGGGTTTCAGAGGGCATGTAATTAAAATACAAGCGGCACTATTGGCTAAGGCAGGTTTTCTGTCTCGATATTTTAAACATTCATCATTTTAACTGTTGTAAATGTCAATCAGATAATTTCAATTTATTTAGATATAGTGCCAGTTCATAACAGAAGTTATCTCATTGGACTTTTCATATAGATAGGTCTAGACAGTGCTCTTTTTAATTATCTACAGAAGCCCAACTACTCCCACTATGAGCAAGTACATGCCGACATTGGCAAGGAAAACCTAGACTCAGGCGGCCATCAGACTCAATCGGTTGGGGGGAGGGAGAGAGAGAGAGAGAGAGAGAAAACAAAGCCAAAGGCAAAATCCATATAGAAACGTAAAACAATAGTAATGGTGGTAGTGGACATCTATGAATATGAATAATAGTGCTAATAATGATAGAAATATTAATAATAAGAAGAACAGTCAGCGGGTGTCGAGCAGGAAAATAGGGGCCGTAGGCGACTTGCAACCACAGATCCAGACCCCACAGCTCTGGAGGCTGAAACACCTACAGAAAGTGATAGAAGGAGAGAGGAGAGGGACGAGACAGTATAAAAGTACGAGAGAGGAAAGTAGTCGAGTTAGTAACATGCATTAGTGTGATAAGATCCTCCAGATGGAGATTTCACAGTCTTGTACTTTTTTATACCGTTTTACAACAAACTGCAACTCTCTTGACTTGCAAAATGTTCTTGTAAATTGACCAACATTATGTGTGTATTTCAGGGCACAATTAAAACAATTGCTGTCTCTTGCCATTGACTACCATACATATTTTTTTCCAAAATAAGTCCTCCCCATGGTGGTCCACCTGAAGGAGAGGGACATAAGCTCTTTATTCAGCACATAGACCCAGCTTTCCTGATCAACAAAAAATGCTCCCTCTTGCTCTGGACTCCACCACTGTCTCCAGCATGGCCTGCTCGGGGAGACACTCAGCAGAACTCTCTCTCAGGGCAGTAACGCCTGCTTGGGATCACTGCAAACTAGCTCAGTTAGCCAGCGGCCACGATAAAATCTACCAGCAACCTTCACATGCTAAGAGAAGCCTTATATGAGAAGATAGTTATATTGTTATTGCCACCACGTAATGTATATTTGTTTCTTGTGTATTTTGCACTAGAGGTTTTACAGTTTTACGGCTTCACTAAAACGTAATGCACATTTTGGGTTCCCAGTTCCAAAACATCGGTCCTGGAGCTCTGCCTCTGGAGAAGTCTAAAAAGTAACCCCAATGATGTTATCAGGATTATCTCAACTTCAATATTTAACTGAAGGTCTGCATCACAAACTGGCGTTGAGATGAAGATGTTAAGTACAAAGGTCAAACCGGGCAGCTCAGATGTTGGATGAGCAGTTAGACGAGCCAACACAAAGTGTTCCAAAGACACACAGTACATGTTGCAAAATGAAAGGATGCAGGAGATACATTTAAATGTCATGTTTAAAATACAGTATAATCCACCTACATCTGATCCGGACAATCTGGATGCCTGCATGATTACATAATCTCTTTTCTGCAACTGGTAAATGATGCCACTCATACCACTGAACAGTAGGACAAAGAGAAGACAATCCATTCAATATTAATTTAAAAATAAAAATATTGGACATTTGTAATTCAGTTATTGATTTTTCTTGGGAAATATTATATCCATAAAACATCATTGTCAGGTTTTTAAGTACGTGCAGTGTTAAAATGTAACTAAGTACATTTACTTAGGTACACTACTTAAGAACAATTTTGAGGTACATGTACTTTACTTCAGTATTTCCATTTTATGCCACTTTATACATCCAGTCTACTATAATTCAAAGGCAAATATTGTACTTAACACTACATTTATTTTTTACTTTACAGATTCAGATGAATAACACAAAATTTAATCAGCAAATAAAAGATAATATATTATTATAGGTTAAGCTACCCATCAAAAATGAATAAATATAAATTCAGTCAGGACAACTTTCATCAAAGACTGATATAGCAGCATTGGAGTTATGTTTGGTGGTAAAGCTCTGTTCTGGGATCTCTCTGCCCTTCCACAGTCCTAAGTGGAAAGCATAAGGCAGGGAGGGCACACCTCTCTGCCCTTCCACGTGCCTACGTGGAAAAGCCATAAGGTGGGGAGAGAACCTCCCTGCCCATCCATGTGCATACACAGAAAGCCAGAGGCAGAGAGCAGCAGTAAAGAACCCCTGTACAGAACAGAGCAGGCATGCACAGATTACATGATTGATCAGATACTAGATGGGCACTGAAGTGCGTTAACGGACCCAGGGCTGAAGACTGTACTGTTTATTATCAGGCTGCAGCTTCTGCTGCTGCGTGTTGCCTTTGCACAGGAACACACACATGCGGGTGCACATGCACACACAGCAGCCAGCTCAGAGATAGGCCATGAGACGTTGGCGTGAAGATAACTCTAAGCTACTCGAGTTGACAACAGGTAATCCTGCCACTGTAGCATCTGCATCAAACCTCAAGAGTAAGAGACAACTTTATCGATACATTTGTTTACCAAGCATAATGGTAGAAGGTGTTATTTGATCTGCTCTGTCCACGTCTCTCATCCTCTATGTTGTTAAAAGCACACCGTGCTAACAAAGCTAGATGTACAACAGGCTAAAGGAAACTGTTCAGCTTAGATTGCCATGTAGCTTCAATTGGCACATTGTTACCTGCAGTGAATACCAGCAGAGACAGAAGGAAGGAGGACAGGAGCAAAGAATGATGCTATATGCTATATCTTCTTCTGAAACAGTGAAAAACATCCGAACTTAGACGCCACGTTTGTTTGGCTCTAGCTGCCTGGTGTGGCTTTATCCACGCACAGCAACATGAACACAATGGCGCATGTTTGCATGTTTGATTCTTATCGGCTAATTCTTGGCCAAATCCAAATCCCGATATGATAATGAAATATGCCCATCGGCCAACACTATTGGATTGATAATTATCATGCATCCCTATCAGATACCAGAGCCTAAAGGCAGAGCCGGGGTGGCGGTGGGTTACGAGCATAGACAGTATATTACTGGACGAAGCCACCCTGCTGATTTGAATGGAGAGCAGTGAAGCCAGTTTTGGACCAATAAAATATTACTACAGGGCTACTTCCTGTTGGCACCAGCGTCTACTGCGCATGATCGCACTGCATAACCGTGGTTTAATGATGTAGAACAACAGCAGAAACACCAACATCTGGTAGCTGCATAGCTGCACCAACAAAAGGTTTCATGACTCAGTGTGTTTGTCTGACTCAGATTGTCACTGTCTAATCAGCCCACCTACGAGGCTCACCTGCCAAACTAACACAGCGTCTCTTATTGCTCTGATATATTTTTTAGATTGCTATGAGCTTTCCGTAGCTTACATCTCTCATGTGCGACAGGCATTCACAGGGTTTTGACCTCATTTTTGGGCCTACATGGATCCCTCCATGCAGGCTTTGGTCGGCTTCACTGTCCGATCTCTGGCTTACCCCCTTGGTTATGAGCTGTTTGCAGGGGAAGCAGCAGGGGCAGGCAGGAAGACGCGCCTTATATGGAATTTGCCAATGAATGCTAAGAGAGGAATCAGCTGAGCTGTCAGCTGATGTGGCTTGCTTAAGATGGCTGCTATTAGCTGATGTGCTGGGATTGTAAGCTGAGCTTGACTTTGTTGCCAAGGGGGTAAACCACAGCTGAAACAGTGAAGCCGACCAAAGCCTGCATGGAACCATGTAGGCCCAAAAATGACATCAAACACATCCCATCGCACATGAGAGATGTAACCATATTGCTGCGATTATAAACTCTAAGTGAATCTAAAACTATTCGGCCATCAGTGACGCTGCGTTGTTGTTTGGCAGGTGAGCCTCACAGGTGGGCTGATTAAACAGTGACGATCCGAGTCAGACAAACACACTGAGTGTTTCTGTCGTTGCTCTACGTCATTAAACCACGGTTATGCTGCGCGATCATGCGCAGTAGACACTGGTGCCAACAGGAAGTAGCCCTGTAGTAGTATTTTATTGGTCCAAAACTGCTCTCCATTCAAATCAGCAGGGTGGCTTCGTCCAGTAATTTACTGTCTATGTTTGTTGCATGCCTAAACTAACGCTATGCTTGATTTAGCCCCACATTTATTAGCTGCAACATTAAAGTGATGCACATAGCCTACCGGTAATTATAATCCAATAATATAATTTACACTATTCTGAAATGTGTCATTCTCCATTATGAGTACTTTTGATACTTTATTGCTAATATTGCTAATATTCATTACTTTTGTCCATTTACTTAAAGTAACATTTTGAATAAAGGACTTTCAGTATTTCTACAGTAGTCCACCTTCCACTTAAGTAAAATATCTGAGTGCTTCTGCCACCACTGGATAAGTGTTTTTATTATCATTGCTATTATCATTTTAAATTTATTGTAAAAAAGTTTTACCTTTCTCAGTCCTATAGTTGTATTTGGCTTATCAAAGTCTGTGATCAGTTGTATATATTAAGTTACAGAATACATTTGTTTAGAAATTAGAGAGGAGTCATTAAAGCAGCCTCTAAGCTTCATGCAGTTGTGCTGTTCCAATTTTGGGAGGGAAGGTGGGATGTCCATGATGTTCAAACAGCCACTTAGTGGCACTGTTGGACTAAAATCCACATTGCAACTTCTTGAGTTACAGTTTTGTTTTTTGATTTTTGATTTATTAATTAATTTTACAATTGCTTAATACTGAGTTCTCTTTTTCAAAACTCTTCACACAGTCAGCACATCAGCAGTCATTGTCGCCTAAACTTTCTTTACTTTGACACAAAATGCATTCAATGAAAACATCTTTAGAAACGCATGAGCTGTTTCAAACTCAACCAAACAGTCCTTTAAGTCTGCTACGTTCTGCTACACCTTCATCTAGGAAAGATAAAAAAAATATATATATATAAAAATGTATAAACTCCTAATTGGGACATTGAGCACCGATATTCATTCCTTGATTACCTCTACTTGACTGAAGGTGTGTCACCACAGATTTGTAAGAGTTGAAAGTGAGTGCAGTCCCAAATATTTACATGCACAAACAGCGCCCATAATCACCACCTGGCATCCATTGCCCCGGGCTACCTTTCTGCAGCATACCTGAGTGCACTGACCGCACTTGTGTTTCCTGATTAATCTCATTTGCCTTTCTCTCTTGGCCTGTTTTGACCCACCTGTCTGAATGCTCTTCCTGTTTGTAGTCTGTCTGTGGCTTCTTGCGAGCATTGTGTTGTGGTGCTGGGGTCTGTATCTTATTTACCAAAAGCACAACTGCAGATGGGTCACATAGATGTAAACAAGCAACATGCCCGGGCAAAAGCCCCCCAGCTGACCACGCCAAGCCTTTAGCCTCCCCACTATTCTTTGTCTGTCTGTCAACATTCCTCTACACTGCATTCTTGCCACACTGTCTGTCTCTGTGTCAGCAGTGGGAACCAACGCCTCAGCATGACTCTGTGACATTATACATTGTATATGTGGTCTGCAAAAAAAAGATCATTATGTTGAGTCAAATATTTGGGGATTATTCTTTTAAAAGAATAATTCATCAGGAGTGGGCGAGCAGAGCCAGGCTAGCTGTTTCTGCGTTTCCAGTCTTTATGCTAAGCTAAGCTATGTGGCTGCTGGCTGTAGCTTACATTTATGAGGCAGCCATGAGAGTGGTATCTCATCTAAGTCTTCTCAAAAGCGTGTTTCCCAAAATGTTAACCTATTCCACATTCCTGCGGACACAGAATAGCCCTGTCAAGTCCTGACAAATGTCAGTCCAATATTCACTCTCCTTTTAGCTCTGTTTTGGTCTCCACCAACTCCTGAATAAAACATATGGCTCTTTAGCTGCACAAAAGGCCAGGTTTAATTACAAAATAAGTGTTGCGTCAAAAGATCAAAAGATTTATTCCAACTGTCCACGCTGGAAAGTGAAGTGTAAAGTGGGCCATCATAAAGAGGGGGAGACATGATATCATATACATATGGGGATAATAACAGTACACTTTTACATTAACATTGACCTGGAAAATAGTTGTCATAGTTTTGCACTTGTTTTTCATCGTAAAGCTGACCGAAAGTGTGTAAAAATATTTATAAAGAGACCAGGAAGTTCAAGCTCTGGCGCCTTTGCAGGGGGAAGTGGTTTCCAAAGCTGATTCGCCATCCCACATGTAACTCTGACAGACTTTACTGACTTAAAGCTCACCACGCTTCACCAGTTAGATGCTAACTTTGTCTGCAGTTCGGTGCTGTGCAGGTAGCGTACTGTGGGCTATGTAGTGGGATTGATGAGAGCAGTGGAACAGAATAATACAGTACATTTATGGCTTTAAAACAAAAACAAGAAGCTAAAAGGGCTGCGAAATCTGCAGTTTGTTCTCTGTGAGGTGTTCACTACCATCAACCTGCTGGCACATAGTGATTTAATGCTATGTTAAGTTGAAAAATATTGATCAGATATTAAAGCAAAAACTGCAAATGACATGCTGCAGAGATGAAGTCAGTGGATGCAGCTGGCTAATAGTGTCCTCCCTTAATGGCAACCACTACAACCTCACTGTACTGAATTACACTTCATTATACACATATGCACATTATATCCTACATTTCCACATAACATTTGAGTAATGATAATAAAAGAGTTGCTCCATTGTCTACCATAGTCTGTGGTTGCTTGTTCATCCCACCTGAGTTCGATCCAGGCTGATCCCCCTTTGTCCTGACTTGGAATTTTGGACTTTGGCACCTGCCAACACGGCAGTGAGCAATAAACTTGACTCCAAGCTTCAAAATGTTCGTTCAGGGGTGACATGATGCTCCATTGATTTTTTTGTTGCAGTCTATGAATCACTATCAGAACTGACTGTACTGTGGAGCTAATAAACATTGTTATCATTAATTAGTGCTTTAAAACAACTGTGTATCATGGTTATTTGATTTGTCAATTTCCTCATTGGGCAAAGTGTAAAGCTAACTACTGATAAATGCTCCCAAGAGGGAAACCATACACATCATAATATAAACCAGACACGTGTAAACTGTTTTCCTTCTGTACTTTGTTGCACAACACTTTATTTGATTTACTGTTGACAGTATTACAGAGTCATGACACTATGAAAAGTGTGAAATGTCTAAACACCAAAAAGGAGTGTGAGTGTGAATCACACAGATGGTTTATTGTCTTCATTTAAAAAAAATATGATTTCATCTCAGCAGCAAACCATTTGTCATTTAAAAAGACATACAATTTAATAAAGTGTGGCTGTTCTGTCAAACTCCAAAACTTATGCAAAGTCTTTGACAGAACGATGTGAAAGGGCGTAGTGTTTGGCTGCTGTGTGACATTGGCTGAGGTGATCTTGACAGTTGTGTATGGACAGTGCAGCTGGCTGCAACTTCACTCTACCGGGCCAAGTCTGACTCATCCCTGCCTTCACTGCAGCATTCCACTGTCTCACTCGTCACAGCCTCTATTATCTCAATGAGAATTCCGCATACAATCTGTGTTGACTGCCTCGCTGTGTACATCAATGCTGTCTTTAACTGAACGCAAACTCTCCGCTTCATTTACACAGGAAGAACATCAACAACACGTTTTTATTGTCTCTCGGTCTTAATATTATCAAATGCCCACAGAAGGATTCACAAATGTATTTTTATAAATAAATTACTCTCTCCAGAAAAATATTTTCCAATACACACAAAGTTTCTTGTTTTAAATGACTGAAATGGAAATCCACAAGTATGTGCATTTAAAAGTATTTGCAAGTTTCACCAAAAACCTATTTGGATGTTTTTACATTTATATACAAACTGCTTGTCATGGATGAACTACCTATGACAGAAATACATCAGAAAAGGATGCCAGGGTTTGGATTAAAGAATAGTAGACTGCGAGATAATCCACCCAGCCAGAGGAGGCCACAGGAGGTGGCTTTCATTTCATTGTTCAACCTTGTGTTGTATAATGATAAATAAATTACTTTGATCCCCTGATTTGTGTCTAATCTTTAGTGTGGTTTTATTTGTTTTACATTTATGTACAACAATCCTTATTTTTGTGTGCATTGAAAAATATTTTTGTGGAGAGTCATTTATATATAAAACCCAAAATACTTTACACAACTCATTCAGTGATGTACTCATCAAATAAAAACTCATGATACTTGCTACGTGTCTGGCACTGTTGTTTGTTGTTCGATCCACTACTTTGTTCCAGACTGAAATATTTCAATAACTATTGGATGAATTGCCAGTACAATTGGTAGAGATATTCATTGTCCAGAGGATGAACCCTAATGATCAGACATTCATGTTCCCTGCAGGATGAACGGTAATAACCTTTCCTTCAACGCCATCATCAAGGTCAAAACATTAATTTCTCCAATCCTTGGTTTTTGTGATCAAATAATTGCAAAATTAATGACAACCCCGTCAGCTGTACTTTGTGTATAGTGCTTATAAGCATATTAACACCCTAAACTAAGATGGTGTACATGGTACATTTTATATCTGCTAAACAATACAATGTCACCATGAGCATGGAGCCTGCTGACATTTAGCTCTAAAGCACTGCTGTGGGGGGCTGATTAGTTTTTCATATTGAACAAATCAAATTTTTGGCCCAGTAGATGAAAAGGTAAAACATCAACAAAATTATAAATATTTATTCAGGGGGCCATGAATGTATGGACCACATTATTGGCAAACATCCAATAGTTGTCAGGGGATCACCAAGGTCAGTAGGCTACATTCTCTGTAGATGTTAAATGTCTGCACAAACTTTCATAATAATCCATCCTATAGTTGCCGAGATATTTCAGTCTGGACCAAAGTTGCTGACCAACCAACAAACACTGGCATGGCCACGCTGTTAGTGTGGTCTAATATTTAAATCAAACTAACCTGTGGCTACCAAAGTATTTTAACAAGCAATTTAACCAGTATTGCTCCAATAATAAAAAAGCTGTTCCCTCACCATGGTTTTGTTTGACCTGTCTTGCCCGGCATGTCCAAACAAACGAGACCACTGATCAGTCAGTTGTTTTTTCTTACATTTTTATTTGTGCAAAGCAGAAAAGTAAATTTACAGCCAAGGTCAAATGCTGCAGTAATTCACCCGAAACCATTTCAGTTACAAAGTATGTTTTAATGAGTACATATGCATTCAGTGTAGCTGCATAGATAGCAAAGATTATCACTGTGAGTCACATGAGAGTGTAATTGTGGGTGCTTCACAGTGCAGAATGTTTTTAACAAAAAGAAATAAAGAATAAATGTATTACATTAACACATTCCTTATATTTGGATATATTTTAGCTTGACCCTCTATATTTTTGTTAGTGAATATTACGCATACTAAATTACAAGTATAAACAGAAGTGAGGGTGTCCGTTTGTTCTCTACAGGGGACTACAATTTTATTGGAAGAACCAATTTGATCAAAATTTGAAGTGTACATGATACTGAAGGTGAAAAAACAATTATGGAATGTACAATAGTGACATATCACAGTGTCAATTTTTTCTATAACATATATAAAAAATCATGAATGAGGACAACAGAATTGAGATGGAAATAGCACATAGTTAAAGGTCAGGGCAAATGATACATTTCAAACCAGAAAGACAAAATTAATACACACTCAGGTTAAGTAGACAAAAGAGCCCCTCAACAGTATGGAAAAGAAGAATAGGCGCTACAATAAATACTATTGCCCCACGAGGGATGTATAGTGACACATTCTAAATTTTAATAGTCGTCCAGTACCATCCACTGCACATTCTTCTGGTGCATCCCTATTCTCATTATATGTCTAAATAAATTTAAAACTATACATTAAGCACATTCCAAAGTAAATATAACAATAAAATATACAATGAACTACACTTTTATGTAAAATAATACTAACAATTCAACAACTTAAAGAGTCAAAGTTCAACAACACGCAGATGTTTGAACATGAAAATACACAAGTACAAATAGTTTTTTTTTTTCTTTGTCAGTCCTCACATAAAAAGTGCCACAGTAGACATTCAAACAACTCTGATTCCAGTATCAGGTGGCTGCTGTAGTGATCAGTTAAGTTTTATGATCCAGCTCAGTTACCTCAGCTCTGTGTACATGGTAAATCACTGTGTAACCATTGTCACGGGAAGTAAGAGGTATTGCCTTCTGTACACTTTACAAGAGTCACATTTTCAGTTTGGTGGCTTCCACACAGCTCACAGGTAAACAGGGATGTATAAATCCGCTACAACTTCACAGAAACGAGCATGGATATGCATGTCAACCTTTGTGGTAGTGGCACAGTCACACCGTACAGTGCACGGTGCGTTTTTAAGCTGCATTTCTTCATGTATCTTTTCACAGCAACTATGAATTGTACATTTTCTGGCAAACAAGGATCAAAAAATTTTTCGAACAGTATTGTGTAATACTACCTACAGCAGATATCATGGATTAGCAACTGTAAATAAGAACAGGAGGCCCGTCAAGCTTTGCACTGCGCCACATGTTCTGCATGGGCTTGTAGTAGGGTTGCCAGCGTGCGTGCGTGCGTGCGTGCGTGCGTGCGTGCGTGCGTGTGTGTCAGTCAGTCATGAGTAACCGCTAATGAGAAGCTTATTCTGTGTTTGAGAACATAACATGACAGACAGGCTGAGGGATGACAGAGCAGGAGGGTTTTGTTCTATCTCATAAAAATCGCTCAGTCTTAATAGTCTAACCTGTAATATTTCTGTCCCATAGACGTGCACTGAATTGATTCTCAAAAATACAGAACAAAGTCCTGTGTCCGTTCAATACATGTCGTTTAGTTTCCAATTACGGGACAATTACGTATTTCGCTGGATGATTTCGTATTTTGACAGATTATTCCGTATTTTACGGGATTGCTGGCAACCATAGGTTACAGTAAGTGATAATCACTCAGCACTTACAAAACCGGAAACACAAAAGCAAGTGTTATGAATGCATTAAACAGCGTCAATGTCTAAATTGCAATTGTTAGCATATCCAGCTACTAGCTTACTATTTAACTTGGCAGCTACACCTTACTTCCAAGGCAAAAGAGACAAAATATCATTATAAATATCATTAATTTGTGGGGTAACATAACCCCACTGTTTGAAAGCTGGTCTTGGATGCAGTCAGGGTTTTGCGTTAGCAGCTCTATCCTGCTCTTTGTTGGATTTGGGAAAGTTTACACTGCAACTTCATGTCAATATTTGCATTGTTGCATTTGCCAAACACATCATAAAAGCTTTTTCTTTTATAACATTATATATATATATATATAAAATTATAAATTTATAGTCTTGGATTAACAAGGCTCTACACTGCAATACAATATGTGCTACTTTATTTCCATGTCTTATACATGGATCAATAACTGGAAGGATGCTGACATTTTGCCTGGGACATGTGGTTTTAGCCTTAGTCTTGGCAACCTATGGCACTTATGTTAGCTCAATTAGCTAGCTAGTCACAGCTAATACAATCTGCCAGTGACAGCTGTCGTTACCATCGTCAAAATCAATGGACACGGGCTAAAGATCAGATGCCTGCCAAGCACTGTCTGACATCAAGGACCCATTGTTTCAAAAATAAAAATTAAAAAATAAATCAAAAATGGTGTGAGTGTGGAATAGTCCTGTTTTGATTGTAAACTGCATATGTGCTCTGTGAGAATGGGAAGCTTGAAAGGGTTAGCAACAGTGACTGACACATTAGTGAAAGGTCAATGTTAGTCTGTTCTGTTCCAACATGGGAAATGTGACGTGAGGAAAACTTATTTAGAAAATTATTTTTAGCATGGAAAGCTTTGCTGTAATTGTTATAGCATTTCTAATGAAGTCTAATAGTCAGCAGATGATGAATCCCTATATCTGTGTACAAGCATAGTTCTTGAGTGTTTGGTGCACATACAATGACTTGATAGGGTGAGGTAGGATTAAGCTGGTCTCAGGATGTTTGGATGAGAGACAGCAGGACAATTTAATCACAGTATCATCTGACCCTCTCTCATTTTAAACAGTTATCCCGCTGCATAGCAGAAAGCCTAAAAGCTCAACCTATGAGTAAGCCTGATGCATACAGGGCACAGTGCTTCACTGTTCACAGTGCTGAATTCCTTTGTTAAAAGTGCATTATGTAAGACTTTCACCAGACTAGTGCAGACAATGGCCATAATATGTGGCCAGTGTGTGTGAGGGTTTGACAAGATGATTAAAGCCAATGACTCAGCTCTCAGTAGCAGTGAGAGCAGTAGTCTTGTTCAAGTCATATTCTACTAAATACCCCTTTAACAAAGTTACAGTCCAGCTCATCTTACTTAAATAAGTAATCCAAGCAAAAGTCAGCTCTGCAGTACAATGTGACCGCATGTGTCATTATTCTGGATTATGGGTACGATGATGAGGCAACTTGGCAGTAGGCAAACCAGGGACATCACCAAAGAATTCATAACCACAACAAGGGGCCATTGTCATGTGTACAGCGTGATGCTTTCCACAATACAGTGATAATATACAAGTAAAAAAAAAAAAACATAAATATGGTCAGTTAGCTCCCTAGTGTCCAATAGAAAGCTTAGCAACAAGTCCCCATGTGTGTAAAGCATGGCTGGAATGTCTTTTTGGCAAAACCAGACAATGTAGATGTTATTACCGCAATGCATAAACGACGCAGAGATGTGGATCTACCTGTCACAGTGACCCATAGTAATGCCATAAACCCACCTTCAGGTTGAGCAAATTCACAGCTGATAAGTGTAACTACATTATTCATTAGGAAGCCACAAAGAACCAGACCTAATTAAAATGGAAATACCTGAAGTATGATGACTTTGATTTTGCTTTGGTGGAGTTTAAGCCAGCCACCCAGAAAACAGAACCTCAACTATTCACATACTTCGCAAACGAACGATAACTTTTCCACTATTTGCCCTGGCCTGAAAAAAAGTAAATGCAACCATTAAAAAAAGAGAATCAAACAAACAGCAGGTCATACAGGTCAGACTAGAGGTGTAATCTCTAGTCTGACCTGTATGACCAGCCAATCAAGTCAAAATTCCACCAGCCAACATATCAGCCCATCAGTAACAGACAGACCCAGGTTACTGGCACACTGACATCTATATATAATATACATTCTTAGCCACTGGCTGCTTTAGTAAGCAGGAATTTACCAAGAGAAGAGGTTCTTTCCAACAGAGCTTTTCCATAAGGGAATGATCAATACATATACATTGATGCAATGTTAAAACTTCCAATCTTGCTGTGACTGAAATCCACCTTTCTACTGCGCTAAACTTAACCCTTATGTTAGTGATATGGTTCGAATAAGGCAGAAGCAGAGAGCCTGTCTGACCAGTAATGTTAATACAAGTCAATGTTCTTTTTTTGGCTCTCAGGGAGTTAACACAGTGTAAACTTTGAGCTGCAATGGATTGTGTGCTTTAAGCACATAGCCACAAGATCAAGTTTGGCTTTGCTCAACACAACACCAACAGTAGCCAGCAAATCTTCTACACCAGCAGGGAGTATAAGTAAAGCGTGGATCGTGGAGTCTTCATCAGCGTGTATGTCCTCCACCTGCCGTTTGGCTGAACTTTATGTAAATTCATCCAATCATTTCTCTCCATTAGACAGCCCAGATCTTCTTCTGCTGGAAATAGGCATCAAATCTGGCCAGGGCGTACTCCTACAACACAGTCAAGAGTCCATTAATATATAAAGCACAATTTATAATATATATATATATATATATATATATATATATATATATATATACATACATATATACACACATACACATACATATATATATACACATACATACATATATACACACACAAGCACACACACAAGCACAATATACATATACTCTAATAACTCACATGGTAAATTCACATAATCACATAATCACTACTGCTCCGAGGTTTCTCATTTTAATGTTCACAAATTATTTCCAGTTGCTCCAGCTTTGATGCTTTTTAAAAAAAAAATGTTGTTTCACAGTAAAAGCTTAAAAAATGGGGGAAAAGGGGTTATGCTCTTTGAACCACTGAAAGACTTTTAATGTGAGACATCTGTGCAGGAAGTATTGAGTTTCATCATCAGAAGCTTAACAGCAATCAAATAAATAGTAAACTGGAAGCTAATTAGGGGGGAAAATTAGTGACTGAAAGTCAGCAAAGCAGAATGCTGAATATGGCTTGACTGTTGCTTCTTATTAAAATATGATGAAATATATTTATAAAACAGGGAAAGTGCAGGTGAGGTAAAGACCATGGCTACTTAGGAATTCACATTATGCAAAAACAATTTGCTGCAGAGTTGGTTTACTATGTATATATATATATATATATATATATATATATATATATATGTGTGTATGTATGTATATGTAAAAAAATACACATAATTGAATTGTTCTTGACAGACGTAAATATTAACATCACCCTACAGGGCAATACTTAACTTACTGAGTACAGTCATACATTATAGCCATTTAAAGTGAAGGAAAAAAAAGACCTTTACTCACCAGGTATCCAAACTCAATGGTCGACAGCCGGGCCTGGATGATGGACCACAAGCCCCAAAAGAAGTGGGATGCCAGGGAGAACCTACATTCAAAAACACAAGGTAACTTTGTTTTCTAAAGACATTAAAAAGAGTTTAGAGGTTTTTTTTAAACCTTTCTCTCTTGTATTGTCATGTCACTTTACACCGCGTCCTACATCTGAGCTCACCTGTTCACCTCCACGTATAGCTCCTCCTTCACTTTCATTTGGTCCTCTTCACTCAGGTTGTCAAACCCTTGGTCAAACTCACGCAGGTAGCTTTCAATGAAGTGGAGCTGTACAGAGACAGGACAAGTTTAAAACCAAATAAATAAGACGTTTAGAAGGAGTGAATTAACATATCATACACACCTGCTGGGCCTTTGAAGGGTAGGCCTGAGCATTCACTTTGAAGAAAGGAAACTCATCGCAGTTGTAGTCGTACATCCATTCACAGAAATGGTTGCCAATATCAAATCCCCTGCAAGAGCAACATATGGAGAGAGACGAGAAACAATAAGAGATGATGGTTGATGCCCTTACATAAATAAACACTTTCTGTTTGGCATCTCATGGTGTCTATTGGGGTTTGTATTGCAAATGTGTATTGAAGGTTTGGAGAAGAGGAACGTTATTGTTTTCATGACAATAAAGGGCAAGCAGAATATTTAGAGATGATGATGTAACTTAGTTTAAAAATTTGGTAGCACTTTATTATCACACTATTACCCCCACATTAGCAAGTTTTAATGTAAAGACGTAATAATTTAGAAGTACCTTGTAATTACCAAATTAAAAACTACCAATTAGCTTTTCTAGACAATATTACCAAAAACAAAGGGAAATAATGGGGAAACCAATTTAAATATAGCAACAAGTAATAAATTATTTTGTAATATTATATAATTATTGTCAGGTTAAAAGCTGTCTCGCGAGACTAAATATTCTCACGTAGTGAAAAACAAATGTAGCCTAGCTGATGCGACACCCACGTACAACATAATAGTAATAAAAAAAAAAGTGAACCCAGTCTTACTGAGTCCTGACAGCTGTGACGAGTAGTAACTTAGCTGGTAGAGTTTTGCAATATAAACATCTAAAAACTGAAGTGCAAACTTGCTGTTTGGGACTGTGAGCTGCACTTTGTGGTGAGACTGCCTGATCAGTAGTGTTTTCAGTTAGTTTCGGTTTCCACCTGCTTGTCTCATCATAACATACAGTCCCATACAGTTCTGTGTTGGTCAGACGGTCTGAAGGGGATCCTAACAGCAAAGTAATAATGTAATTCACAGCAAAGAGCAGGTAGACTTGCTATCCTGAAATCTCATTAAATGATGATGTTATTCTTGTAATATTAGGACTTTTTTCTCAACATGTCAGAGAACACAGACATGTGGGAGAGATTATGAATGTGCAGGAAGTTTTGAACAAAACCTGAAACAGAGGAGCTAATAAAGTCCAGTTTATAACTGAATTAAAATGAATTAATTCATCATTGAGGTTAAAAGGTGCCACAATCACATTTAAAGAGGTTACTTCCCAAACAAGACACAAAAGAGGAGAGAAGACTAAATCATGCCTGCATGTGATGTGTGCTGACTCAGCAGGGATATTACATGAGATAAGTTGATCTACCAGAGAAACATATATGAAAGCAACACAGAATTCCTGAGAGCTGCACAGACTTATATTCTGTTATATTTGTATAATTTGAATGATCACCGGCCACCTGAATTTTGTGTGTTTCCCTTTACATAAACAAACATTTCCACAATAAATTGGTGCAGACAAATTCAACAGAATGCAGACAATTAAAGGTTTAATGTTCAAAATTCAACATTTTGCTCAACATTTTGCTCCTTTATTTAGTATAATTTAAGGTTTCAGGGTGGGTTCGAAAAGTAGTGAGTAAAAGTCATTGACAAAGAAGATCGGATGTTCTTCTGAACAAACAAAAAGCAAGAAAGGTGGACACACCCTGTAGGGTTTCAAAGAAACTAATATATAATTTAGCATTGAAAATTTCTCAAAAATAAAATCTCACCTTGTTCTTGTGAACCTAATATGTCTCGTGAGTTAAGTGTCACACCCCTAGTAATTACTAATTACTAGTAATTATAATGCTAAAATTCATCCTCCCTTATGTTTACAACATTCCCTTTTGCCTCAAGGTAAAACTGTACAAATTATATGTTTAATGCTGTGACTCATTACCTGAAAACATCTGTGGCAGTTTATGTGTAGTACCATAAATACTGGCCACAAAATGCTTTCCTAATGGTTTCTATCAGGTGTGGCTTTCACACCTAGTTTCTTTAAAAGACCTATTTTTTGTCTTTCTCTAAAAGGAACTATTTGAGAATTTAGGGTAACTACTCAGTCTGTGATTTAAACCAGGTGTATGCAGTATGTGGTAGGTGTATGTGGCCACTCCCTAAAGTAGCTCCTGCATGTTAATTCCCACACTGATATCAGGGGCCAGGAATTTCCAACACAACACCTCCCACTGCTCTGAGGGAGTCTATAAATCGGGCTCATCTCATTCTGTTTCTATATCTAACTAATGTAGGTCAATGAGAGAGAAAAATCCACAGTCTGTGTGTTTCTGGGTGTCCATTTGTGGCAGTGTTCTTCCTGTACATTTGTAATGGCCCACATGCTCAGTATGTGTGTGTACAGAGGGTCATGTGTTTGCTGTTTAACATATGAGGAGCCATGCTGAAGGGAACAGCAGGGGTTGTCTGTGAACCAAGGCTAGTTTGTTCTACTCTGTTTCCCCAAAAATGCTCCACTCAGGAATTTACACACCCAGGCACAAACACATTGAAAGTAACTTTCTTAAGAGTTGATGAAAATAAGCGCTCCTTCAGATATACAATCATTCTTCTATTCCATTCTATTTTAGTCGAGTCCCAGTCCTTTGTGCACGACTTTCCATTGCCTCCACCCTGTGTCGTCGTCACTGGCCAGCCAAATTCTGGTTACATAATAGCTGACGTGAACATTTCAACAGGGGGAAGTGGCCATGAATGATGACTGCTAAAAGGAATTATTGATGGAACAGGGATAAAAACCAGACTGCATTATTTTTCCTCTTGTTTTCCCTCAGATTTTGCTTTCTTTCCGGCTCAGTATCTGGGTTACTCTGTCTCTCACTCTTTCACCTTCTGCATTATTTTCAGTCTCTATCTCCGCCCATCTCTCTCGACTGCAGAGCCAAGGTTAGTTGGGAGGAAAAGAACTGGCTTTTGCAGCTGAAATTTATCAGGACAGAGCGCATGGATCAGACAGGTGGACCCCTTATTGTTTAAACCATAAAACTCACTCAAAGTATAGAGCCCCATAAGTGTTCTATATTTAAATACATACATAAGTTATCATGAAATAACTAATTACATAAATAAAATGTTTAAAATAAATAAAAATAGAAATCTTTATAACAATTATTTTTTCATTCTTATTTTTGTAAAAACAGGCCCCTGCCTCTTAATCTAGCAAGCTCAACAACAGCTACCAGATTTAGTCATTTAGCCCACATTAGCTAGAGCAAGAGCACAGACACAGAAACTGACATGTCTTTCTACAAGGCTACATACGCTACCTAACTAGCTAGAGTTGTGAGCTTGGTTTATTACTCAGCGTTAAAGTTAAGAGCCAGTGTTTGCAGTGTTAGCTAGCTCCTGCTGGTAAGAAGAACAACTGAAGGTTCACAGAGCTGTGTGTCTATCTCTGGGGGACATCTTTATTATAATTACAATTACAATTTTTAAAAGGGTGAAATAGAAAATAAAAACAGGATTAAACAGGACAGTAAAAGTTTCAGTGCAGTGTACAATATAAATCCATTAATACAGCCTTAAATTTGATTTAATTAAACACTGTTGAGCTTGTTTAAGAGAGGATGTGGCATGTGATTGGCTGAAAGGTGCGGGTCGGTGAAACACCCAACACAGCTCAGGCCTGTCTCCTCCTCGATTAGTAAAACCAAAAGCACAACAACCATCCAGCATTTTGGTAACGCAAAAAGTAACAAACTAACAGTGTATTACTCGCATATCGGTTGGCAGGCAATGAAAATTAACATCTTTATGTCCTCCAAGGGAGCGTTTTCTTTGGTTTGTGACGTCACGTGAAAACTATGAATAAGCAAATACAAATTAACTCCAGTAAAAAAATTAATTAAGATGAAATAAGATTTCATAATTAGTTGAGTTTTAATGATTCCTTCAATTATTTCACAAATTGTTGGATTATTTATAAAGGCCTACAGTATGTTACACACTGTTATATGATTATTTATTCCATAACATTGTTTTCATTTATTTAAATAAAGAAACACTTTAGAGTTCCATAGTCAAGGTGTAGGTATTAGAGCTAAACTGTATATTTCAGGTTGCAGATGAGATCCAACGGATTTCTGGTTATATAAGATGTGCTGAGCAAACTAGAAGGGAAATACCAACAGCACTAAAAATATCCCTTCTATTTACAGACAAACTGCATGGAAACTGAGTCTAATAATTCAATTTGTCAGAAAGCTCAAAGTGCATTTTCTGCAAAAAATAACTTTGACAAGAGCTCAGGGACAGAAGGACAGCTTCGGGGAAAGACCCACACTGACTATAAACTTCCTTTTCTCTTGTAGTCTCACTTCTCTGTGTGATCATGTGAATGCCAGCTCAACAAAAACAAATGTTCAGAGGCTAGATACTTTGTAAGACAAGATAAACAATTTTAAAATTTCCATTTAGCTACTTCTGTTCTACTTGAGTTCTGGTGACCACCAGAAGTTTATGTTAAGTTTTAAAGAATGTAGCAGGCAATTTTCTATATTTATTTTACTTTCAACAAATACCATATATATATTCACTAAAACATCATCATTTCAACAATAATTTAGAGAACTTCGAGCAGCAGGACGCTGTATTTTGGATTGACTCAAAATGAATTACAGTGTCCATGTTCACTGTAAAAAAGTAACATTTCACCCAGTGCAACAGTGTGACTCACTCATGTTTTTTAGTACTTTCTGGGAAACAATGGAGCTCTATAGCACAGAGGAATAAGATATATCAGGCTTTGGATACACAAAATACTTGTGAGTTGGCTAAATTCATTGAAATTTTAGTTTAGTTTCTTACCTGTAATTGTAGCTGCTGTACTCAAAGTCAATGAGCATCAGCTTCTGTTTGTCTGAGCTCTGGCGGCCCTTCAGCAGCAGGACATTTCCTGAAAGCAACACATACAAATTTAGTTTTTATAAAAGAGAAAAGCAAATGTACAGCATATAGTGGCCCAGTGGCATCTATATGTTTTACCTTCTTGACAGTCGTTGTGGCAGAACACTACTGGAGAGTGAGTGGACTCCAGCAGAGACCTAAACATACACGAAAAGGTCAAAAGTCAGAGGATGATCAATCAGCAAGGTTTAAAGAGTCCTTGGTTCAAGATAAACTGTGTGCATTGACCACAATGATCCCTAAACATTATTAAGAAACCACAAATATTGTTGATATTAACAAGTAGATATTAAATATAAGTAAATATTTTCAAGTAGCTTCAGTGCAGGTATTCAGGTAGAAACACATTTCATTTTTCATTTCATTTATTAGGAACAGATGGTGGTTCCTTTAAATTAATAGCTTACAATGTTAGGAGTTGCCTACAAGAGTAGCTGAACAAACAAGTAGTTTAATCCCTTTACCTGGCTGTGGGGTTAACATTCACAGTGCTAAGAACTAGAAGCCAAACCTCCAGTAAATACTACATGACACTAACATATTAGGTATGGTCTTTTTATAGGGCTGCTGTTAGTATTGCAACATCTGCTTGTCCAAAAGCCTGTATTTCTGCTTTTCAAAACTCGGCTTTGGCATATTTCACTGTGACAAGTCTGGGTGATTTATCATGTGATTTGTTCTTCTTTATCTCTTTGTGATATTAATGAAATAGTGTTTGTCTAAAAATGCATTGCTTACAGGTTAACTTGAGGGTGGTAAACACCATCATATGGTCTACACATTCTGTACATTTTGTTGCATAACACCATGTTTGGACATTTTCCATGCATGTGTTGGGTATTATCCACTTTTCACGGGTGTGTGTGCATGTGTGTGTGTGTGTGTGTGTACTTTCAAGGACACCGAGACCATTTTACACGCCTTCATCTCATCACGGCTGGATTACTGCAACAGCCTTTTCACCTGTTTAACCCAAAAATCTATTGATCGACTCCAGACTGTCCAGAACTCAGCTGCCAGGCTTTTAACCAGAACAAAGAAATATGACCACATTACTCCTATTTTAGCTTCATTACACTGGCTCCCAGTATGTTTTAGAATTGACTTTAAAATTCTATTGATCACTTTTAAAGCTCTTCATGGCCTCTCGCCTTGTTATATTTCTGACCTTTTTTTGTCCCATACACACACCAGCATGTACCTTGAGATCCTCGGGCAGAGGTCTGTTGTCTGTTGTCTGTTCCAGAGTCTCGACTGAAAACTAAAGGGGACAGAGCGTTTGCTGTCAGGGCCCCGAGGCTCTGGAACAGCCTGCCCGAGGAAATCAGGTCGGCTGAGTCAGTGAACTCTTTTAAGCCCCTTCTTAAAACATACTTTTATAGGAGAGCCTTTCCTGATCTTATTTGACTTTATTTTATCCCTTTTATTTTATTCTATTTTACTTATTTGTTATTTATCTTAAACGTGTATTTTGGTCTTTTCAATGTTTTCTTGCTTGTATTGTTGTCTTTGCACTTGTTGAAGCACTTTGTAACTTGTGTTTGAAAAGTGCTCTACAAGTAAAGATTATTATTATTACTTGTACTTCCCTACATAGTGAGAACCGGAAAAAGATTTTCACCAATGGAGTGAGGATATTTTTGGAAAGTAAGGACATTTTGGCCGGTGCTCACAACTTCAAAGGGTTTGAACTTTAAGACTTGGTTTTAAGGGCCAAGCTAGAATTAGGTTTAGATTAGGGGCAGGGTAAGGGTTAGGGTCGGCATTTCAGTTGTGATGGTTAAGGTTAGGGTGAGGGTCCAGGGAACGCATTATGTCAATGACGGTCCTCACATGGATAGAAATACAAGAATGTGTGTGCTTTTTTACAGGAACATACTTGAGCATATCCATCTCCTGTGGCAGGTTGTAGCTGAGCAGGCGGTTGAAGCGGCGCAGGTAGGACTCTCTGGTGAATTTCAGCCTCATGACTTGGCTCAAGTACCTGGTGAGTGTTAAACACACACACACACACGTAGTTACTCTACCCTTTCACCACAAAGACATTGGGTCTTATCTGAGGTCAGGATCATGTGATAGTGTGAGTGTTACATTTGAATGTCAACCTGACTCACTGATACACAGCATAACAATCAATTACTTATTACTTACAGTAATGTTTTAATTACTGATTATAAAATAAAAATGGTTTATTATAACCAAATATTAGTTTACCAATAGTAATTATTGTAGGGACCGCTGCAGCAGCAGTAGTGGTAGTACAGTAGTAGTGATAATAAATGAGTAGGTTGTAGTATTAGCAGTATTTATGTGTGTGTGAGAACAGAGAGTAAGTCGGGGTTCCTACCATAGACTGTATAAAAGAAAGTTCTTACACATTCTCCATTTCAAAATTCTCCACTTTTCAAGACTTCTCTGTCAGTTTTTCAGACAACCGAGTAGAAATAGCTGAATGTTTATTATGTAAATAAATTGGGAATTGTATAATACCAGTTCCCGCTAACTCTACGATGATGTCTAAAGATACAATGATGAGTTATTTACTAAAGTCATCTCAAGGACAACAGGCAGTATTCAGTCCTCAATATGAGTCAACCTCTGTGTGGTTGCATTACCACTCACAAGCTCATGAAAGTGATGACGAATAGCGTGACGCTTATGATTACCTGTAGGGCTAAAAAAAAAAATTAGTTATTGGCCAGTTATGGTGGCTAATGTTAGCTAACTTTAGGTAGATATTGCTTATGATACTGACATTAATATGGCAGTTTGTTAACTTTATGACTCTATGTATACTGCTATGGCTCTTCGTCTACCAATATCATTTAATTGTCACTTTTGGCCCCAATGGTTACTATTCAACAACAGGTATATAAATCCGAGCTATGTTTTTTTTAGTTTTTCACTCATTTTTACACCGATTTCACGGATGGCTGTACGGCCATTTTCTGTCCTTTAAACTCACATATGCATACATCTAAACGTATGAATCAGCCAAGAAATTTAATACACGCACAAACAAAATCCAGGTCTGAGTTTATTGCTCTAACAGAAAGTCCAGATTATAGGGAATACTGCTTTCATCAAATCCCCTTTTGTAACTAAGTATGTTGTAACATAAACTAATACTACATATGTTTCTGATCTCTGAACCTTCATTCTTTTCTGACATGGAAATTTACTAAACCTGCTACCTGTCAGGACAACAGAGTAATGTTTGCAATCCAAACTCCGGGAGGTGATAAATCAGTACTTATGTACCTTCACAGAAGATCAGTGAAGCAGGGCAATGGACTTTATCACCACACGCTGACAAATATTGTGCAATGTAAACCTTGTAAACACCCAACAAATAAACTTAGAAGCAATTCAAACGGAAGTGCATTATGATAAGCCACCTGCCACATCATACTTGTCAATATGCAATCAGTGACTCAACTTGCTATCTTTCTTTTAGGATTCAAAAACTTATGTTACTGACATGGGACCTGTTTCAAGTCCACTCAGTCTCTCATTTGAAACCTCTTTTGCAGACTTAAGTGGTGAATAGGTATTAGCCATGACAGACAGAATGGGCTCCTGAATAACCCTAAAAAGGAGACAGGACACAAGATGGAGCAGGATAGGACAGGACAGGATGAGTGGGGAACGACAAGACAAGACTTACTTGTCCATGGTTCCAAACAGCCACTTGGGTTCCTTGTTGAAGGGCATTCTCATTCCATGAAACTTGGCCATCTTCTCTGCAACCTCTGCTGAGATGCTGGGGTCGCTTAACTCACAGGTGTCCAGTTTACGGCTCTGTCAACAGGATATTGGCAATGATTATTTTGAGCCGGCTATGCGCAATTTAATGATGATGATATTATCATCATTCTGTAAGCAACTGTGATCTGATTTTTATGCTGCTCGCTGCCTCTCAACTCACATTCAGATCATTTACAAAGGGGCGCAATAACTCAAAATTGTATGTTTTTATTAATGATCCCACAAGGGTAATGATACTTTTTTTGGTATCGTCATTTTTATAATTTAACAAAAGAAGCTAAGATTTTCAACCATTAAATACTAAACATAAGCAGATAATACAAGAGCTCTGCCTTCTAAGACTGGTAACATTTTTACTAAATCATGAACTATCTGATTAAAGAATCCTGTAAGTAAACAAGATTGCAAATGTAACCAGACATTTGATTCCAGATCTCGGTGCTATGGATACAAATAAGTTTTAGGTGTCAATACCCAGCCCTAAACATAAAAAAACAAAGTACACTACAATACCACAATATAAGCAACCTCAAAAATGATTCCATAGGATTTAATCGCGACCTCAACAAAATATATACGTCAGAAGTTGCACAATGATTGAATTTATTTCAGTAATGGAAAGCATAGGGTGTTTATATTATTTTATTCTGTTTAAAATGATCATATAGTGTATATAAGTAAACATATACAAGCACATGTGCATATGAACAACAATATGGTGACTTACAGGGACGTACTGTTCCAGTCGGCCCTGAGGGAAAATACCGTAGAGTTTAGGTCCCAGCTCCCTCTCTGCCAGGATGGCAAACATCACACTCTCCAACACCATGGCCTCAGCCCCCTGAAAACACACAACAGTAAGAAAGTTAACAGCTTAACATTTAAAGTCAGAGAGCAGTCCACACCACTACAGAAAACCATCAGTGCTGTAAAATGCAATACGAACAGAATGAGAAATGAGACAGTTTTAGTGAGGTTTGGATTCAGAGTCAGGAATGAAACAATTCCCTTGTCAGCCCCTTTCAGACATTAAATCTATAACATCGCTTGGTTTCTATTAAAGTAATGACTTTTTAGCCTTTAAAACAAGTCTCCTGTAAACATCACGGGACTGTTATGGATAGAGCAATTGTCACGATATAAAGAAGATCTACCAGCCTGTTTGACTCAGCACCACGCCGACATGGCAGTGGCAACATTAGCAATTTTGATCACAGAATTGGTTTATTATACAAATTTAATCTCCTTGTGCGTAGCAATTTGTCACAAGGAGTTTATTTTATTAGTTAATATATACGGTGTATATTCCTGTATATATGGAACCATGCTCTATAATGTGATTGCTCTGCATTCAGATTTGAACCGTGGGCTTGCGTAAATTTCTGAAGTTTCCAAGTAGGCAGACTGTCTGACGTGAAAATCTCAGGAAATTACCAGAGTGAAGTGCATGTCTGAAAGGGGCTTAAGTGTAAATCCTGGGTTGGAGAAGGATGGAGGAGTTTGAATGAGGAGAAATGCTGTGGTTAGGGTTAGTTGGGTTTGCCTGTCAGAGCGATGCGGAAGATAAAAGAGGTAGATTAAAAGTTCCAGGAAGAGTTGGCCCACTCGGAGCACCTGTCACTGTTGAAGTTGCTGAAGCGGAAAGGACAGCCTTGTCTTTCTCCTTTTATCTGAGAGGCACACAAAACTCACACAGAAAACTTACACACTAACACTTGTGGCCTGGAGCCCAAAAGGGGCCCAAGGTTAACTGGGAAACCTTCTCTCATACCAACACAAACACAGCAAAAGACCACAGCTGTGTGCTGGCTTCTCACTGACTTGATTCTGCTTCTCTCTATTGTGTGCAGAAGACTGAATAATAAGGAGGTCATTAGCAGAGGAGAGAGATCTCTAGCTAATTAACAGAACAAGGCTAACAGTGAACAGGTCCAACGCTCATTCTACAGCTGATTTAATCTGTGGGAAACTGAAACTCTAATGAGAAAAGTTGGATTTCTAATACTCAAAACTTTCCACCAGATCAGCTCCGCCAGATGGAATGCAACTAATCTGTAAACAAAATCTTTTTTATCGCTTGATGTTGTAGTTAGTAGATCTCAGTGGTCTCATTCAGGGCCAAGGACACCTTCATTAAGATAACTTTCCTGTATTATGAAAATGTAAAATGACCTGAATCTAGTGTCAAATGTAGGAGCTGTAGCTGTAGGGCTGCTCCACTAATTGCACACATGAAAATCAGTTTCCTCTTCATTGTTAGCCCTTGCCAGCCTCTGACAACACTTGTGCAACATCTTTTGTCGCTCTGGGGGAGCTTTGTAAAGTCTCACACAACATGCCATGTGATGTCATAGGGATGTCATCTGTGTTATCTCCATTTGGGCTGAAGTCCACAAAAACAGAAAGCCGGTGTGACAAAGACACTACTGAGTTTCATTATGGGAAATGTAGGATCCAGAGTTTTTGGAGCTTGAGCCATACAGGGGACTAAATTTCAGGATATCTCAGCTACTGATGCTTTCATTTAGACTGAATTCAGATGTCACACAATGCTAATTATTACATTGAAGATCACATTTCAACTGACAATGACACATTTTCAATTTTTCTTGTCTAAAAAACAATATTACCAATATACCAAAGTTATACCAACATAGTTAAGTCCATTCTTGACATTTGAAATAGGAATCTGCTCAGTTTTACTAGCAGTTGTCAACTGACTTAACTCTATTCACAATGAGATGTTTGAAAGGTACAGAAAAAGCTAGTAAGTGGAAATTGAGTTATGGTTTCTTTTTTTCCTTTCAGGGTGTGCAAACGTGCTTTTGTAGGCACAGCCACAGCAAAATGGCATTTCCATTAGGGTTTCAAGTTAATTGGCTGACGCTGCAATCGGCTGCCTTCCAATGTAACCATTAGTAGCTGCAATAGAAACAAGTATAATATATTGCTATCTTAACCCTCTTAAGCGAATAACCTTCAGATAAATTGCTGCAGAGAAAAAAAGATTTGGATCAGAGCGCAGGGTCTTTGGCTACTTGCCAGGGAACGTGCTTCATACTGACTATTCAGCAGGAAGCCAGCTCAAAGGAAACAACATAGCCTGCTTTGTGGCCTCGTAGATGTTACACACAATCTTGAACCATCCTGTAAGCATATTTCTCAAAACAAATCTGTACTGTACCACCTACAGAGAAGCTCAGCACTAAACTAATTATTCTATTACGAATTCAGTTGTATCACAGCTGGCAGAAACTGGCAGGTTGTCTCTGAAGTAACAATCAAAACATTTCTTAGTTCGTGTTCAGCTTATATCTTAAAGAATATTATTGATAATTGGGCTGCAAATAACAATTGTTTTCATTATGGTTTAATTTGCTGATATTTTCCCCCCCATAATCGATTAATCATTTTCTATAAAATGTCAGAAAATTGGGAAAATGAGCCCAAGAGAACGTCTTGAAATAGCTTGTCTTTGCCTGACAACCAAAGATATCCATTTTACTGTCATTTGGAAAAATAAAAGCACAAGCAAATTCTCGCATTCAAGAAGCTGGAAGCAGCATTTGCTTTTGCTGTCAAAGTTTCTAAGAATTACTAGTTTATCATTATCAACAGTTGCTGATTAATTTTCTGTCAACCGAATAATCAGTGAATTGACTAGTTGATTCAGCTCCAACTGAGAATTGAGTCATCTGCAAACAAACTGAACTTTCATATTCCATTACTCTCATTAAGAAGATGAAGCCTTGAAATTCACCTGCTTGGTCAGTAAGACACTATTGGAAATTATAACATTAGCATCTAGAGAGTGGATTCAGTAGATTTATACTGAACATTGTTCAAAGTAAACAACCACACTGCACAAGCCTGTTTTTGCTATCTGCATAATGCATTATGTTAACAAGCACAGGGCAAACAATGTAAAAACATCTTGAAAAAATGAAAAGCCGATCTCCTGAACAGTGTGCAGCATATTCTGCTTTGTTCCCAGGGCATTTGTTCATTGTTACTCCCCATCGTTACGCAACTCCGCATCTGCAGAAATCTCCAATGTGAATTATCCCATTTCCATAATTATCTTGACACACATAACTGCCAGACAACAAGCTACCTGGTAGCATATGCGCAAAGCAGAGCAAAGACTCCTACGGGGCCGGCTTATAGGATGTATCACTCCTCTAACAAGATTTCAGTGAGACAGCAAGTATGTTATCTTGCTTACTATCGCTGTACTAACCCAGTTCAGCAGCATCAAGCTCGCATTTGGACTAATCTGTTTGGTTGGCTTGTTTTAACTTACATTTGCTACATTCCAAGCACTGGTTTCAATTTAGCCTTAGTGAAAAACACAAATGGGGCATTGGGGTCAAATTAAAGTATTTTGCTATTATTAAAAAATCCTGACTAATGATTTAAGTAACAAAAAATATCTTTAGGTTTTATTTATTTAGTTTAACACTCCAAACTTGATCTGCTTCATCAGGACTGGGTGAATGTTAATTGATTGACACACACAGTGACCCAGTGGTCCATATTGACTGTCCTACAGCCCCACAGTCCTTCTTCAACCTCTGTTCCGTTTCCTACTTGCTTTTGTTTGTTTTATCTGGCTCACTGTCCCAGACAGAGAGTCTTCCACCTGCTCAAAAGTTAATTATCAACAAGTAATAGATGTCTAGACAGCTAACCATGCGGACACCCCCACCACTACTAATTACTGTTTCAGGGAACAGTATTAATTTTATAATAAATGTGAATGTCCTTTTTGAATGAAGAGGGGGTTCCAGTGTTTTTTTGCAGATTGATACAAAAGGAAACCTCATATGATTCTCATTTTCCATTATTAATCTGTAAGAAAATTTAGTTTTTTCGATATCGTGCAGCCCTAACTGAGATATTTGTGGCTAGACTTGGACTGATGCATTATTGTTAGCTGCCTGCAAAGTGAACTGTGCACTGCCAACAGCTGCTGCTTTAACCTCAGTACTTACCTGTTCGGTCATGTGTGTCAACAAACCTGTAAGGGGGTAGATTTCTGAGTACAGAAATGTCAAATCCATCTGACCTGAACAGGACCAGCATGACACATTAGTTCCATTCATCTGAACAAGTGACTGTCAAAGGGCAGTGGTAAGGACTTGAATAAATACAGTTACACTCACCAGCCACCAGTATAGGCATATTACAAACAAAACTATGAACGGTTAAGTTCAAAGTAGAATTTTGAGGCTGATGGTATTTTTTTTTTAATCAACATTACAGTCAATAGTTTTTTTATAAAACATATAACAGAGAAAAAATGTTAGAGTGACCAAGACATATAGAGCTGACCAATTTATTGAGCTGAAATGAATAGTTAATTTATTCAATAGTCGATCAGTCGAACAGAAAATTAATTGGTAACCATTTTGATAAACAACAACTTGAGTCACTTTTCAAGAAGAAACGCCAAACATTTGCTTGTTCCAGCTTCTCCAGCATCAGGATTTACCGCCTTCCTTTGTTATATCATTCCATATCAAGCATGTTTGGTTTGTGGACTGTTGGTCAAATGGAACAAGACATTTGAAAACATATAATATTAATTTCTGTACTATATCTGTATATTTGTTGTAACATATCTAGTAATAAGTCAATCTTGTGAGCACTGTCATTTGTACACTTACCACTTTGTGTTCTTCATTTATATGTACAGCGTATCTCACATGTGTGCTACTATGCTGCTGTGATGTGCTCCTCACGTGGATTACTATGCTGCCATCCTATCTAATCCAAATAGGATTTACCTTGACCAGACAGCATTGTTAGAGTAGGTGGACCGAGGCCTAAGACACTGCCATGGGGTCAGTTCTGCATTAGCCTCACTGCTAACTGAAGGCTGGATTAGCGGGAAGGGAAGCTGCCAAGGACGAGCAGCATTCTTACGGGAAAGTGGAAACAATAGCTAACTGTCTGATGACCTCACCTCAGTCACATGCAGGGAGTCATGATTCAGCCTCTTGAAGTGAGGGTCAAGGGTCTTGATGCAGGGTGAAGGAATTTCTAGGTCACTGGCTTTGAGGCATGGCAAGCTGCCGGCAGAGACTCTCTGAACATACTGTGTTAAAAGTTTTGCTTTGGGATGTATTCTTTTGTATACCAAATCAGCTGGACTCAAGCTAGATGAGTTAATTTCACCAAAATAAGAGTCTGTTTTTCAGGTTTGTTTAAAAGGCCTCCAGCTCTCAGCATTTCCCAGCTAATTTTTTACAGTCATGCTGTGCCAGGGGTGAAACTGATTCTGAACTTAAGTCCAAAAACCTAAAGGGTTACAATGTGATTTCCCCGAAACAGGTGGTGCCACAGGAGTTCAGAAGCCTCGGGCAGATCAGAATGAAACCCCGTCCAAACAGAGAGTCGAACATGAATAAGAGGAGAATTCAGGACACAAAAGAACCTTTTCAGACACAAGGGACGGGAGTGGTGAGTGCTGTGGTGACTGGATGGACAGTGGGTGACACTCTGGGCAGAGAAACACACTGTATGGTGGCACCATCATCAGTTACTTACTTGGAAGTGATTTTCTTTGTTTGACTGTTGGGAATCCCCTTTATTACAGGACATCTATCAACAAAAGAAAAAGGAAAGAACTATCCATGAATACATGTGAAGCGGTTCATGAGGGTCAACATCAAAACCTATCCATGCCTGCAGTGCAGACAGTACAGTATGAGTTCAAACACACACAGTCTTTTGGACATGACAGTGCAGAGGATTGGTCAGAGAAAGGGCTGCGCTCCCCTGACTACCTGCTTAATGCAGAAAGAGAGAGCAGAGATAGAGGTCTGATAGTGCAGAGATAGCAGGGGTTCTCTCTGGGGAGGAGAGATAAAACTATCCTCTATTACCCAACTGCTGTTGGGTGTTACATTTGACCTGGGATTATGTATTAAAGCTGAGGCTAAAAGTATATATATTTATTTGGTGAATCCACTTTTCATCCAACATGCTATTCACATATCTTCATTGCTGAGAAACGCTGTCTCCAGTGCAGTTAGGCTTTGTTTAATCATTAGTAGCTGTGCACTCTGACGATGACATCTGAGTTCCTTAATCATACTACCTTTTTGATTAGACATCACTAAATCCTGAGAGGCAGTTCTGACCTGACGGAGATGGCCGCAGTTACCTTGGTGAAGGACACAGTGCATTTGCTCTCTCAGACATCCCTAGCAATAAAAGCGAACTTATACGCCATTAGCAAGTGCACAGACTTTAGTTAATACTTAATGTGGGTCTCATTGTGCCGGTCATTAATGCGCACATGAAAGTGGATCATTTAATGGTTGCAAATGACAGATTTTAAGGCTGAGAAAGCAGCAAGAAAGCCGTGCATGTCGCTGCGTCGTGTTTTGGCTGTCTTTCATTTATCGCAGCAGGCTGGGACAAACAGGTAGATGTGCTAAAAACAACACCGTCAACGCAAACAGGAGATTAGAACAGGCTGTTTTCAGGAATTGTGTGCAAATATTCTTAAGTCCTTGAACTCTTGTCACTCAGTATTTGCAAGTGAAATTAATCTGCTGTGGTGTGTGACATAGTGACTCAATGGTTATCTTCAGAGAAGTTCTGTTACACTTCCCAGTACTGCAGAATGTGTCTGCCCTGGGGTAGCTGGGATTATGAACTCTGGACACACCAGCCACATCATGTTAGGAGATAAAAAAAGGCTTAACTGCAACCACTGTGGGGCCTCAAAAAAAGAACATTATCTATCTATCTTTTGTGCAAACTGTGACGCAACAACAGGCCAAACTGCACACTGGACTTCTCTTGTTGTTTTGTTTTAAGCCAAGCGAGCTGCAAATGTGCAGATTCATCCTCAGGCTCTTCAGTTTGTCCACTAGTTCAAAAATTCCGCTAACGATTAAGAATCGCAAGGCAGGGATTGAGAGAAGAAAAGAGACAGACAGGAGAGGTGTTTCAGCACATTGTTTTGCCTCCATACTGTATCTTCCCAGCTGTGTCAGCCAGGGTTTTTGCTACATGAGTGTGTGTTACGTCTTTGTATTAGGCTGAGATTTCAGAGATCTCATACTGTACCGTGTTTTTTGGTGGGTTCACCTGGGAACAAGAGTGCCCAGGGCACGCTCCTTTGGGAAGCCTACGGCAAAGAACACATGCATGTACAGCCATGGGGGTACATCACCCTGTACAACAATGGCTAACACGCGCGCCCACACACACACACACACACACACACACACATACACATACACACGTGAAGACATAACTGCACATGCATGCATACACTAACATAAGCTTATAACCTGCAGACGCACACACACACAACAACCTCTGGTGGTGGCACTGTCACACCACACAGTTGTATTATCATTTGTTTTTGTCTGGTTTCTGTGATTATCAACTCAAGCTGTAAAGTAACCTTTGACCCCATCTATGTGAGTCATCTCTGTGTTAATTGCGTACAAGTCAAACATTCTTACAGGTTTAGATAAAAGACAATGAGTGTATGATTTTTACATTTCTGCTGTTATTTGTGTGTGCCGTTTAGCCGCACTTCATCAAAGGCAGCTAAACTTGAATCATTACAGACTAATGACTACACACTACTGAGGGAAACTAGTTTCTCAGATACGACAACACATCCTGATGGAGAGTTTGGCTTACTTGTAACTCCCTGTTTGTACAGTCAGACACAAGCGCTTAGCTGTTTGTCAAAGACATGTGATGTGAGATGTGGCTCTCACCTGCAGGATGGCCCCATAGAGGCGCAGCAGGATGCTCCTTGGCTCGTCCCCAACAGTGTCCAGGCTGTCAGGGAGGCTGCAAAGGAAGAGCTTGTTGCTCAGACCACCCCTGGAGAACAGATGGTAAGACAAAATAGGATTATTACATGTAGGGACTGGTCTCTGCCATTGCTGCTGGAGACGTCTGCTGCCTTGGCTGCAGAGGTCTGTGTGACTGTGGAGCAAGAGCGGACTGTGAAAAGATTTTTTTTCTTAAGTGAAATAAGTGATGAAACAGGAAACAGAAATTATAAATAAAAGTTTCCGTAGTTGGACTCAAGAAGAATTGGGCTGTGGCCTGTAGAGCAGAGGGCACAGCATGAGCATCCTGTTAAACCCCTAAACCAATGGAGGACAGTGACGCCGCTATTGGATCTATGTCAAACGTTCACTAAAGAAATTAAAAAAAGACTGAATTTGAGATTGCAATCCGACATATATATTTTGTCACGTCAATTGTATATTTGAATTGCTTATATCATACTTTTCAGGATCCCTTGCAACAAACTAAGCAACTTAGACTTTCAGTCTTTACGCTATTTAAATGCTATGACTTCCTGTATTGCAGGGGTTTTTAAAGTGTGAGACTGCAGGCTTCCCCTCAGACAAAGCTTGGAAAACGGCGCCCCACCACATCTTTAGTTCACTTGGTAAGCTTCACTCAATTGCTGGATGCCTATTGGATGATGATTATATTAAATCCCATAGACACTCAACATTTGAGCCAAGATAGCCTAAGCTGTTTGACATAACTTCAGACTACACCAAATAGCTTTTAAAAAATGTCAGCCCTAAGGCATAAGTTTTTGACTCTGATGGGGGGGGGGATAGTTCCCAAAAACCACTGTATCTCTGAACTCTCACACGTGTAGGCTATTCTATGTGATCTCCTTTTATAAGTAGCCTAATGTAATAGTTTCCCTTCAATTCAATGAGCCTCACATGAAACTATTTGGAGCGCCCCTGGGTAGGCCCACCTCACACTTTGAATTCCCCTGCTGTATTGTATGGCAATGTATTTTCATAATAGTGTGTTGTTAATAAAGTTTTTTAAAACTCTCGTTTCCATTAAGTACAATGTTCACACACGCCCTAAAAATCAGACAAAAATAAGCAATAGCGTCTGTCTGGCTTAGCCTGACAATGACATTTCTCATATAGCCCTGCTGGAATTTAATACCACACCTTGAATAGAATAAACACAGAAAGCCACGACTCAACATAACAATAATATCAGATCTCCCCTTTCAAGGATCAGTGCCAATGACTCATCAGACCTTGCTTCATGTTCAGTCAATTTAACCAGATGGACGCTCGTGGTTATGAATGCGTGTGTGAACAGTAGTAGCCATAGAAACAACACAAAACGGGCAGCTAACAATTAGATCCTACAATAATGCATATGTTCAAATATTTAAATAATATTTATGAAAGTCCATGAAAACCCTGGCACACTTCTAATACATGAGACAACACTTTAAAAACCTTGGCCTGCATTTAGAAGAAATTATTCGGGCTTAAGTATTTCTTGCTAATTTGCCGAAAACAGCAAAAACTTCCTGTTCTTTGAGCGATGGCTACGTGAGGATCGTCGTCGTCAAGCTAAGCCAATCAGAGGCGGAGTAGGGGAATCGCAAATTTGTGATCGTTTGCGATCAGGGGCTGAGTTCAGCACCAGCAAAACGGATGTAAGCACCCTGTTGTGTACGCAAGCGCCCTGCATTTCCCAGACTTTTTAACACAGCCTTTTTTGTTTACATTTTTGTCACTGCTGATTGTGTGAGACCTGTGATACACCTACTAAACAGTGGAAAACATTCCTCAGCTGCACCTTATTAAAGAATGTCTGCTGCTTTCTACTCTTCTTCCCTGGTTTCAATGCCAAAATTAAATCTGGGATATTTGTGCTGTCAAATTGATAAAAGTTACCAGATGTGTCCTCTGTAAAATAGGCGTGGCCAGAGAAATTGTTCTTGACGAAGGCCCAATGTCCACACTCACAGACTCAATGACTTTAAGGCGCGTTCCCGGTAAGTCCGTGAGGACTGTCAAATCGTCAACTCTTGTTAAGTGCGAGAGGGCTCTCTCGCAGAAATTTTAGGCCCTTTGGGACCGTTTTTGTACGGCCGCATTTCTGCAGACTTTGCCTGAAGGAATTTACATTTATTCATTTAGCGGACGCTTTTATCCAAAGCGACTTACAATTGTTTTATATGTCAGAGGTCACACGGCTATGGAGCAACTAGTTAAGTGTCTCGCTCAGGGACACATTGGTGTCTCAACGTGGATTCGAACCAGTCTCTCACACCAAAGGCATGTGTCTTATCCATGGTGCCATCACCACCCCTATATGCCCACAGTTCATAGCATTGTGATGTGAATCACAGAGGATATCATGGGAAACCCGGAAGCGAGAGAAAAATCAGGCCAAGCCGACTTATAAAAGAAGAAGAACAGTAAACAAACAAGCATGAAAACCAACGCTGATGCTAAAATTGTAAGACAAAAACGTTTTCATAGATTTTAGATGGTACATAGAAGACATGAAGTCAGAGGAATGCTTTATTATACAATTAGTTTATTCAACTATTTATTTTAGTTTTTGCTTAATTCTGCTGTTTTGACCAACAATCCTGCATTGATTATTGACAAACGTAGATTGACAATTAAGCTACCTCTCATCCACTCAGGGCAAGAGTCTGAAAGACATATAACGTTAAATCAGGCAGTTGGAAAGTAATAAATCCAAAAATAAATAGTGAAACATGTTTCAGCATTGTCAAGGTAACATGATCATGTCGCAAAGTGCTGTCCCGTTCCTGTTCACTGTTTTGAGCCCTTGCAACCAAGTCTGTGAGGGTTCAGGGCTCAGGGTTAAGGGGGGCATTGGGATTGGGCCCATGTCTTTGTATCGGGGCGGTACTTACAAAAGATGACGCTTCACAAGGGCATAACTGACAATAACGCAGACGTCCTCGCTGCAAAGTAACTTGCAGGTTGGATACCCTTGTTAATCAATGTGCAGGATAATGACGTACATTTAAAAGACTATGTCTACATATATTCACATAAGCGAAGAACCCACTCAGTCGTCAAGGGCTCCTCAAGCCACGCCTACGACATTTCTGCGAATATCGCCAGTTAATCGGTCACGTGGGCGCAACTCTTTCAGCTGTTAAAATGTCTCAGCCGTATGTTCATGTACAATGTGCATTCTTGGCAATCCGTCAGCTGTGACTGTAAATGCGCGCCGTGGTGTCTTTCAGGGACACGTCACCGTTTACGGGCTTTACACAGCATCCTGCAACACAGCTTACAGTAGCCTAAAGGCCTACTACCCCGTTGTCTTGCGTGGGCGTGACGCCGAGCGCGACACATTAGAAAACATAAAGAGAAAGGCAAACTCGTCTTCTGGTAACGAGAAAGATACCTATTTTAAATGCTTTATCCATGTTTTTTTTTAAAACACATGTTTTTGGTGTAAGATGAGTAGGCTATAACATGAGGCTGAACGGTTATCCAGCTTCAACCAACTGGGTCTGTTTCTATCAAACAAGCAAATGTCTGCACTGTACCTTATGATGGTGATTTGGAAATCGTCCTCAGACAGGCTTTTCCAGGCTCCGTGGAGGAACTCTCTGCACCACAGATAAGCCTTGTGCTGGGTGTCCAGGTCGGGCTGGTCGAGGCGGACCAGCTCCTTGCAGTCCTCCTCGATGTCGGGCTGGACCTGCAGGGCGTTCTCGGTCACCAGCAGACCCAGCGACATGGAGGGGGAAGAAGAAACCCCGTTGATAAATTTGGTTTTCATTTCGGATTTTCAAGAAATAAAACGGAGATATTCTGAGCTGGACGCCCTCCTGAGCGCTGGTGTGTAGCTTGTCCTCTGGTTTGTGACGCAGAGGCTTTATTTCGTGTACTCGGTTACAAATTAATTTTTTTTTCTTGGTAAATTTATGAAACAGAATGTTGTAGTTTGTTTTCTTTTCTTTATTAGTCGTTGGTAAAAATGCGAAGTTTCACCCCAGCGCTGTTCAGAAGTCAGGAAACGGAGACAATTGGCGAGGATGTCCGTTGACTGGTAAGGAATGAATTAAGTATGAGGGACGTGCCGATTTACAAGGAGGATGGGGAGGGCGGGGAGTGATGGGTCACATGAAAAGCCCGTGCCCTTCTCTTCGCTCATTGGTTGGCTCGGAACACTACCACGCTGTACCAAAACAAACCCGATGGTGCCTTCAGTGACAGTCGGACAGTCGAATTCTGATTACACAACATCATACACAATGTTATGTGTAAATATGTTCTCTTCCCACAGTGTATTAATTTATATTAATAACGTCGGGTTGCACTTTTCATTGTTTGGTTTTAGGCCTATATAAAAAGTATGGCTGTTTATGTTTGAATATAATGTCAGCACACTTGTGTACCTGACCTTGTATATAGCCTACACTTCCGCATTTAATTGTTTGACTAACTACACTAGCACACTAGCATTGCACATGTTTCAAATATTGAAATTCTGTCTGTAACTTCAGTACTGCCCATACACAGCAATAGCCCATACATATCTTGTAGTTTTTACATGCATCAATGAGATAGGTGGCACAGCGTGAAAGCCGGACCAACATGCAACATTAACAGGAATGTAGGCCTAGTTTATTTTTAAATGTTTGATATGTATTTCTGCCGATCAACAGCATTTGAAGGTACCTGGTGTTTTAAAACAGTTTTCATTGTAGTCCAAACAAACATGCTTTTGTTTACGTTCAACATTTTTCACATATTGAGTGAAATCTCAATGTCAAATGTTGAATAGCATTCCATGCTTCATGAAATGTGTGCACAACCTGTTTTGAATATTTTGAAACCTTCATAGATCGGAAGGTTATTGGCACATTGCTGCCAATGTTTATTACCCGCTGCAGTTAGAAAATTGTACCATGTCTGTGAACACCGCACTGGGCTCATGTTGTGATCCGAGTCCATGCGCACGTGCTGATAGAACAAAAGACTGGGACCTCTCTGCAAAACAAAGCTCCACAGGAGTGTTGGACAGGGCATGTGTATGATTTCAAAATCTGAAAGTTGGACTTTCATAATAAACATCACACACTTTTCTCCCTCACATGCAGGCACGTAGCAAGAACATCTGGCAATTGAGAGAAGTTTGCTGTAAGAGCTGTCTGCCACAAAGCCTTACATGGTTAGGTTTAGGGAAAAAGAAAGGCAGAAAGTTGTCAGAAATCAATGAAAGCAAACTTCTCCCACAAGCAAAAATCTGTTCTTTTCTATATTGTTTGAAATCTGACATCAGTACAGCTACTGTACATATTTAGGATTACTGAACTATGGTGTTTTTAAACCTCTCTTGCATTCCACATTCTCCTTCTCCACAGTGTGGAAACTTGTCACCAAAGCACAAACTGCAGCAAGGGAGAAATGGTCTGTCAATTTATTTGATACTGCTGTGGGTGATTTGTGCTTTTCAGCAGAGAAATGTCAAAACAGAAAAGTTTGGTATTTATTCCAAAAAGTCACAATTCCTCACATAATCCAATTTTGGAGTGGTATAATAGAGAACATACCTTAGAGAAACGTGCGTCCCTGGCCTCATGCATATTATTTAACAAAAAAAATCCCAGAGAAGATACATTTAAATGAATTCACAGGTTCTAACCAGCAAAATCATTTCTTATGGAATATAGCAGGACATTGAGTCTGACTGCTCTTTTGGAAAAATACAGATGAAAATGTTTCACATTTGGTTTGGAGTTCTTCTCATGCATAGGGGTCTACATTTTGGTCAGACATTTCAAGAGCTCATCCAAACATGTCTCATTACAGATTTTCTTTTAGTTTGAAGGATGTTTCTTTTGGTGTGTTTGATTTTAAGATGAAGAAGTAAGGACTTTGGTTATGCTCTTATAGTAAATCTGTCATTTTACTTGCTAAATACCACACCCACAAATGCAAATGCAATGTTTCTAAAACATTCTTTCTTGTTTTGAGAATGAATGCTGGGGGGCAGCAGGAAACCATAGGGAGGAGATAGCACAAAACTAGGAGAAAGGGAAGAAGTTGAGTTAGTAACATACAGTAATGGGATGAAAATGGGATAATACAGATGAAAAGGTGGAGGAGGAGAAAGTGCTCGGTGCATCATGGGAAGTCCCCCAGAAGTCTAAGCCTATAGCAGCGTAATTAAGGGATAGTTCAGGACTAGGGATGGGTATCTCTACTGGATACCTTTATGGTATCGACTGAAACAGCCCGCCGAGTCCATGTATGATTTTAACAGCCGCTCATTTGGCTGCGGTCTCAGGCATGTTTGTCACTGTTGCACGTTTATCACCACAAGCTTGGTTTTCCGTTGGTTTCATTTCCTGGAATCATTTAACACTTCTCTGTACATTTTTATTTGTTATTCACATCTGCGTTCCATCACATCATAAAGGCTTTTGTGGCGCAGCGACGATCAGCTGATTTTACTCAGGGAGCCTCCGGCTGTTGCTGCAGCTGCTTCAGGCGTAGGCCTAGTTGGTTTGATCGGTTGGACTTGCAGATTATCTTTTCCTCAGTTTGCTTCGTTGGAGTCTTTAGTGTAGTTAAGTAACTTGTTAAAACAGACTCCTTTTATACTTGTGACTGTCGTTTTTGGACCCATCACTAAAGGAAAAAGCACTCGCGGAGATCTTTCAATTCAGTTTAACGTTACTGATCGAAAGTTTACAAAATAATTTTCCGTTGTTTACTTTCAACACTCGTATAAAAAATTACCTTAAATTCGTTTCCCACAACTCATTTGGTCACTAAACTATTTCACTCCTCCTCTCTCATTCAAACATTAAAAATTCGCAAGCTGTAGTCTTTTCCCTTTCTAGTCTTTATGATAGGCTACTAGTAGTGAGGATGAGGATGATGAGAATTAGAAAATAATAATAGGCTACGAATCAACTACTGTGGCTTCACCTGGTGGCATTTTATGCAAGGTATCGAATGAAGTAGCCTACTCTATTGGAGTCGGTATCACTTTAAGGGTAGGCTACTGGTTTTGGTAGGCCTACTGGTATTATAAATTTTAAATGATACCCAGCCTTACTCAGGACTCACCTGAGCCAGCCCTACTATTAGCTTTATCAAAGAGGAAAGTCTCAAGCCTACTCTCTTTGCAGGCCTTTTGTTGTAGTTGTATTGTGTGTCCTAGCTGTTGGCCTATATGATATGGTCTTTAATAACATTTCTAGTGTTCCTGGAAATGTGTGTTTTACTGGTGCCTTCCATTCCCAGCCCACAGGCAGACTTTTGGATGAAACGGTCAGTGTAGTTCATGAGGATGCCGCTTGAAGGCAGTGAACCTGCATCCACAAGCCCACGTTTTTCTGTAAATTCAGAGTGCCATCTACTGGTTAAAACAATGAATTCCAATCAAAAGAGGACTGTAATAGAATTAAACACATAGAGCTAATTCACAGTTCAAAATGTCAGTTAAATACAAATAAATTAAAATGGTTAAACATCAAAATTAGGCAGGCTAAGAACAGCTCTACATTCTCCTCACAACTGGTTTTACATGCAAACAACAGAAGGCGCTCGTTCTTCTTTCTCCCCTACACCCGCTTGAGATCTTCAGACTCTACATACAAATACTGTCTGTTTGATGTTACCTCTTGAATTAATCGCAACATGCGCTCTGTCAGCATTGAGGTGAAACGGTTACTTTTCTTAGCCCTTTCTATTCAACATTAACCTCCGCCCGACGGTAAACGCCGCGGTACAAAACGCGCAGGCCGGCGCATTTTGATGACGCCATTATCAACGAGCCAAAACAATAACAACAACAGAACTCAGCTGTTCGGCAGCTAACTAGCCGGCCTAGTTACTGACTGTTCTTTACTGTTTAAAAAGTGGATTGGTATAGGTTGTTTGACACTCAGTAATACGTTCGGATGCAAAGTAAAGTCTATCAAATCCTCAACAAAGCGTAGTTATAGGTTTAATTTTAAACTCCTTTGTCTTCTCTCGGTTAGCTTCTAACTTAGCAGGTTAGCTTTTTAACTGAGGACTGGGGAGCCTGTTCGCCCGAAAGGTAACTTGTCTCGATAATGTTGCAAAACATTCACATAACCCCCACTATAGCGTTCATGAGTAGACGCTTAAAATCTTTGAATGTGCCCCTGTTAGTTTGATAGAAGCTGAAAGGTAACTATCAGCAAATGAGAGCGAATAACGGCGCTGCCAAAGGAGCTCGAGTCAGGTTACAAACCGACGGGTCACTTCATTAAACTGCAGTGTTAAAAGTGGGCACGTTTGCATCACGTTTTTTTTAAACGGTGGTGTTGGTCGAAGCACACAAGTTGTCTCGTTGGTTAACTTCCCTGTTAAATGTGAATAAAAAGACAACGACCACATATTTAACCATATCACGTTTGCGCACCGGACTTTAAAGGGTTTAATTCTGTGGTTCCAGACTCATTGTGAGTTTGCAACCGAAATTTAAGTTAAAAAATAAAAACTGAACTGGAGCCATATCATACCAAGTTAGGTTTATACATCAAAGTAAAAGGTTAGGTTTTGTTTTATCATTAGTTTGATGTAAGAATTGAATCAGTCCTGTTTAATATTCTCAATGATGTCAGTGGGTTGGACCATTATGGTTAGTTTTGGTTGAAGTGGTTCAGAATCCCAAGCATTTACTGAGTTGTCCAGGCAGACCAAATATACTGTGATTTCTGATGATATTCTCCATTTCTTTTCTGCCTGTTTCCTGACACAACTTGAAAAAAATAATACAAATGAAAAGGCAACATCTTAAATCATTGTTTGTCTCTTTCCTGTCTTTAGATTAAGACTTCACCAGGCCAGAGATATTTATGGCTAAACCAAACCACAAGACCACCCGGTGGAGATTCTGACCTCCACCAATGACCACCAATATCATTTCCTCACCTGCCATCATGTCGCCGCGAAAAAGACCCCTGGTCCCTGTAAGCAGTCGGCGGAAAGCAGTGGACGACTACTTTCCTTTTAATTTCCTGCCGGTGGAGTGCCAGCTGCACGTGTTGTCCTTTCTGAATGAGGTGGATAAATGTAGCTGCGCCCTGGTTTG